GCGGGGTACCGTTATATGGGAGCTATACGTTATCGTTAACCTATATAGAGAATTCTCTGTCGGTGGGTAAAGTGCTCACAAAGAACCCCTTGTGACCATTCCGTTGAAAAATATGGCTAAAAACTTCAAAATACCGAACATCGGGGGTACCGTTATATGAGGGCTATACAATATCGTGGATCTATATAAATAATTCTCTGCCGAGGTATAAAGTACCCACAAGGAACTCCTTGTGTGGATTTTCAGACAATTCCGATGAAAAATGTGGGTCAAATCATAAAATACCGAATATCGGGAGGTACCGTTATATGGGGGATATACGATATCATGGACCTGTATAGACAATTCTCTCTCAGGGGGTGAAGTACTCACAAGGAACTACTTGTGTTGATTTTAAGACAGTTCCATTGAAAAGCGTGGCTAACATCATCAAAATACCGAATATCGGAGGTTACAGTTATATGGGGGATATACGATATCGTGGACCTATATAGACACTTCATTTTGAGGAGGTAAAATGCCCACAAGGGACTCCTTTTGTGGATTTTCAGACAATTCCGTTCAAAAATGTGGGTAAAATCATCAAAATACCGAATATCGGGGGGTACCGTTATATGGGGGCTATACGATATTGTGGACCTATATAGATAATTCTCTGCCGAGGTATAAAGTACCCACAAGGAACTCCTTGTGTGGATTTTCAGACAATTCCGTTCAAAAATGTGGGTAAAATCATCAAAATACCGAATATCGGGGGGTACCGTTATATGGGGGCTATACGATATTGTGGACCTATATAGATAATTCTCTGCCGAGGTATAAAGTACCCACAAGGAACTCCTTGTGTGGATTTTCAGACAATTCCGTTCAAAAATGTGGGTAAAATCATCAAAATACCGAATATCGGGGGGTACCGTTATATGGGGGCTATACGATATTGTGGACCTATATAAATAATTCTCTGCCGAGGTATAAAGTACCCACAAGGAACTCCTTGTGTGGATTTTCAGACAATTCCGTTCAAAAATGTGGGTAAAATCATCAAAATACCGAATATCGGGGGGTACCGTTATATGGGGGCTTTACGATAGCGTGGACCGATATAGCCCATCTTTGAACTTGACCTGCCTGCAGACAAAAGAGAGATATGTGCAAAATTTTAGCTTCCTATCTTAATTCGTTTAGACTGTAGCGTGATTACAACAGACGGACAGACGGACGGACAGGGCTAAATCGTCTTAGAATTTTACGCTGATCAAGAATATATATACTTTGTTGGGTCTAAAATGATTATTTCGATGAGTTACAAACGGAATGACAAAGTTAATATACCCTCCATACCTTTTTTGGTGGAGGGTATAAAAATTTATGGTATGCATTTTTCTGAAATGCTTACAAATTTTAAAAATTTTCAATTTCAACAATGGTTTGACAGTTCATTATCCCAGCAGCTGTGTCGATGAGACTATCGGTATTCTCATACCATGCATGGCAAAATAATACAGGTAGCCGCATAAACACTGTTATTGGTACAATGAACTATCAAAACATTTTGGGAATTTAAAATTAAGAGCGATCCGGGTAGAGGTTTTGCTTTGAAGCAGACATAAGAATGTAATCTGTTATAACGAAAAATAAAAAATACAATTAACCATTAAGGCGATGCACAGAGGGGTGAAATCACAAAACACGGAGATTAATTGAAAAATGAAATTCGTTTTTTGGAATAAATGTTTTTAAACTATTATAGAACACTACATTCTACTTCAGTGGCAAATTTAAGAAATATTTCACTTTTTCGCAAGAAGAATGAAAAAATTTATCTTTGGTTTTTTGAAGTGCAGTAATTTAGTTTTTTCATCAAAAGTTATCATTTTAAAATTGAAACATCGAATACAGAAAGTTATCAGTGTTTTAGAATAAAAAGGTTTTAAAAATAATGATGAAAAGATATTTTAAAATTTAATTCAAAATATAACCATATTTTCGCCACATCCGAAAAGTATGTGGAGTTTTAAAAAAATAATATCGAGAAGGTCTTAAAATTTTAAATTTGTATTTTAGTATGGAATGTCATCTTTCATAATCAACAAAAAACTCGTGCCCTTTTTGTTTAATTTAAAAAAATGGTGAAAATAGTCAACTGATTTTGCGGTGAATGTACTTTGATCTTGTTCTCTGTTTTATTTGTTTATTTTTGTTAGTCTTTCTAAAGAAGTTTATCTTGGGTTTTTATCCTGTTATTTACTGGAAATCTAAACTATATATAAAACAATACATAAAAGTATTTCAGTCTCTTTAAAAAATCAGTGGTGAGGTTACTTATTTCACCCTCAATTTTGACTGATGATCAAATTTAAGACAATAAAAGAGATGTAAGGGAGGACGATAAGGATGATTTTTTAAATGTCAGTCACATATATTTTTTTCTAAATATATTATAAGGTTTTAGTCTATTTCAGATAGGAAGGCTTAATTGCCAGCCAATTTTTTATATATTTTTTTTATAATTATTCCTTTCCTCATAAAAATATGTAGTATTTTTGTCTTCCGATTTAGAAGGTTTTACAAAGGGTAAACTATTTTTTTGGCTTAACTCAAATTATGGATTTATATAGGCAATTTTTGTAAAATTTCCATCCATCCATTGGGAAAGCTCTGTCTGAAACCCTCAAAATACCTAATATTAGGAAGTACCATTATATATTTTGCAGGGAGAAATTCCCAAAATACATAAAATTTGGATGTGCCGTTATATACGGTCAATACTTAATTGTGGATTTATCTTCACAAAATTTAGCAGGGAGAGATTTTGTCCGCTCAGAACTCAAAATGTCAAGATACTCATGATTGCATTTGAAATTGTGGCCGAAACCTTCAAAATACCAAAAAATCAGGAAGTAACGCTATATGGGGGCCTTACCGAAACGTGGGCCGATATGTCCCATTTTTAATGCCAAATATCTTAGAGGTAATATGAATGTCTGAGCAAAATTTCAGAACGATAAAATGCTTCCCTGAATTAATCTCCGTTTTGGGCATCACACCCCACTGTGCGATGTTAACATTTACGATCCAAGATGTCAATTCCATAGCGCATACACCAAATAATATCCACTGGATTTATGCGCTATGGAATTGGCATCAGAAATCGAGTGGATTTAGAAGTCTAAACATGTTTTAAGACTACGATTACATTTGAGTTCTATATATTTATAGTTCCTCATTTTCTATTTGACGTATGCTTCTGATTGCTTGTCGAATTTATCCAGATAGAAAACTTTACAATCATAAAAGCCTTTAACGTGGCCTTAATAATGGATAAATTACCTCATGTCCCAGAGAAAAGCGTTCCACCACCTATCCTATCCTAATTATTGTACCATAAACGGACATTACGACTAACAGTACGATTTGACAGTCCGACGAGGAATCAGCTGATCGTTTTGTATGAACACTGCAAGGCATGGTAGAAAAATACAGGTAGTCGCATTAACGCTTGGGAAAATTGATATGTCAAACGTTTTTATTAGTTTTTTTTTTGTTTTTTTTTTTTTCAAATATAAGTAGATTTTTATATGTTTTTTATACGACGTCATTCGGAGGTTATTATAATTTGCGTTTCTCAACAATTTTTATAAATTTAAATAATTTTTCAATTCCAAAATTGTTTTGACAGTTCATTGTCCCATCAGCTGTGTCGATGCGTCTACCTATATTCTTCTACCATGCTACAAGGCCTTTGTATAATTACGTTTTCATGAAAAATCTCTATCCTTGACCAATCACAATAAATGTATCTACAGAAAACATACATTAAATTTATTGTGATTGGTTAATTTTCAGTGTTAACCTCTCTTTCAGTGTTAATCTCTTCCCGATTTTGTATATAAACGGGTATAAAGGGTGAGATAAAAAACTGCAACAAAGTCAAACAGCATAATTTTTACATTCTTTTTTTAAATTTTATTGAATGAACGCAAAAAAAGTGGGAAATACCATCAAATTTTAGAATAATTTTAGATTTGTTCGGCCAATGAAACCGTCATACGCTGCCCAAACGTTGCTCTACGGCATTTTGGCCTATTCCCGGAGAAGCGCTTGCTTGAGGTGATCGACACTTGGGTATTCTTGTTTTAGTAGCCACCTTGCTTTCCAAAATACTCCAGACACAGTAGTCCAACGGATTGGTATCCGGAGATTTTAGTGGCCACTGTGCGCTGGAAATGAAGCGAAGAACCTCATTTTCTATGAGGGTGGCGCGTGCTGAGTGCGATGCTGCTGAGTCCTGTTGAAATGTCCGAGGTCTGCGGCCAAAATGTTTGAGTGCCCAAGGCTTTAATACACCCTCCAGAATATTTTCGCGATAATATTCGGCATTTATTCTGATGCTACGACTTTAATACACCCTCCAGAATATTTTCGCATTAATATTCGACATTTATTCTAATGCCACGGTCGATTAATACGAGCGAAGAGCGACCATCGGCTGTCACCATGGACGGCGTTTGAGTTGTGGTGGCCAACTGAAACTTATTCGGCAGTTCACCACTTTCGGCCAAGCGAAGCAACACTATAGCTCTTTGGAAGTTATTTTCTTTCTGTTGCGGTGTAAGTTCTTGCACTTTTTTCGAATTTCAATGCTTTACCCCGAGCTAATTTTTCAATATTTGCCGACTAGAATATTGCGATATGTTCAGCTCACGAGCCATCTTTCGGCCACTGCGACGCGAGTTTCGATCAAGTCTGCTGATGTTGCTATTTTCTTCCATCCATTTCCTTGACGTCGGGCTACGCTTCCAATATCACGGTAACGAGCGATGGTACGAGACACAACATATTTATTCACACTTAAATGCAGGAGTGCTCTAACCATAGCCACTTGTGTTTTTTTTTATTTTTAAGATTATGAAATTTATTTCTCATTCGATCTTTTTGAATCTATAATCTTTACCTACCAACTAAACTTATCCCAAAATTTTTATTAAATCTTATTTCAGATATAACCATGGTGGCACCCCTACTTGTATTTTTGTTTTCGCTACAACTGTGTCACACCACATCGTGGGCCTATGTTGGGGGGAATTCTTTGAACTCCAATTCGCTACATGCTTCTTATTCAGAATTCCCGGCCGGAACTTCAAATGAAGTGCCCGAAGATGCAGCAAATGGTCAAGACGACAATGATGACAGCCAACTGACAGAACCGGATGACAACAACGCCCCCTTGGTACAGAGTATAGATGATGAAACTGAAATGCAATTTCCCAAACCTATACAATGGGTCAGCATCGATCATTTACGCAATTCCATTATTTTGAGGTTTCAAAATCCCACCCCCAAGATTCTCAATAAACTTGATCCCGAAGAAATGAAAAGATTGCGATCGCTGCAGGAAAATGCAATGCGCTGGGGCAAGCGATCATACGAGAGTTATCCCTTGAATCGAAATGGTCTGGCCGACAAGAGCTCTGTGGGTCGCATGGACTTTTTGAGTAATCATCAAGTTATACGAGATTCCCGCGGTGATAATTTCATGCGCTTTGGCCGTTCGGTGGGTGGCAGTGGTGGTAATGATGATAATTTTATGCGTTTTGGTCGTGCATCGGGAAGCAGTGATTTTATGCGTTTTGGTCGAGCGGGTCAGGATAATTTTATGCGCTTCGGTAGAGCGGCCGGACAAGACTTCATGCGTTTTGGTCGTGGTTCAGGACAAGATTTTATGCGATTTGGCCGATCACCAGGAAGTCAAGATTTCATGAGATTTGGTCGCAATCCAAATCGATTTGGCAGGGCTTCGGGACAAGATTTTATGCGTTTCGGCCGCAATCCAGGAAGCCAAGATTTTATGAGATTTGGCCGCAATCCAGGATCACAAGATTTTATGAGATTTGGTCGCAATCCAGGATCCCAAGATTTCATGAGATTTGGTCGGGCATCGGGTGGGCAAGACTTCATGAGATTTGGTCGAGCCCCCTCTGGCCAGGACTTTATGCGTTTCGGTAGACCCGATAATTTTATGCGCTTCGGTCGAACTCCCGCACAATCAAGCGATTTTATGCGTTTTGGCAGAACATCCACCCAATCAAGTGATTTCATGCGTTTTGGTAAAAGTCTAGATAAATCGGAAAATAAAACATCTGATCTACAAAAACAACAACAAATGGGAAAGAATGAACTTAAACAAGCCGTAAAACTTATACATGAAGCCGATAAAAATTCTGAGAATGGTAACCCTGTCGATAAGGCCATTAAAGCTTTATTCGATAAACATGAACTTGGTGATCACAGCGTCGATAACATCGATGACAATCATGCGGCCGATCTTACACCACATGAAAACAATTCCGATGAACAAAATGCCGATTTGGATTACTTTCTCAACATGAAAATGACAAATTAATGGGAAAAATCACAAAAAAAAAACTTACAGCACAAACGATAAAATGATACTGGAATAGGGAAACTTTGTAAATATAAAACTGAAATGAATAAAATTTTATATAACTGAATGCTATAGAAAAAATTACAAAAAAATAATATTAATTACAGAGAAATAAAGTCAAATTAGTGCCATATTTTTCAGTTCTATGGAATAGAAAATTCGTGCAATAAGTGAATTTTTTAACAGGGCTGGATAAAAGAATTCACTTAAGAAGAAAAAAAAAAAAGAAAACTGTAAATCTATATAAAAATATGTTTAACATTGTATTTATGTATGAGTATTAAAAAAAAAACAAATACAAAATGAACCAAAGATATTTATTGAAATTGGAGAAAACGAAATAAAAGAAATATTAAGTTATACATTTTAAACTGCAACATGAAAGTAAATTGTGTTTTATTTCGTAGCAATAGGTCTGTCTGATTTATCACAACATATAATTAAAAATAACAAGGAAAAAAGCACCTCCATCATTTGGAACGATTTTGAAAATTATCAAAAAAATAAAATTAAATCCGTTAAAAATTCTGTTAAAATCCCAAAAATACCGAATATAGACGTTATATTGGGGTCCATACGAAGAAGTGGACCTGCATAGGCAACTTTTGTCATCAACCACTACAATATAAAATTACGAAACTTAAAAAAAGCTAATCCTGTGAATTATGTAGCTAAAATCACCAAAATACCGAATATTGGGAGGTACCGTTATATCGCGCCTATACAAAGACCTGGACCTATATAGACAATTTTTTGTCACAGGATGTAGTAACTATTACGAGCTCTATATACGGAATTTAAAAAAGCACCGGTCAATAATGTCCCTAAAATCGACAATATAATGTCGGGGGGAACCTTTGTATGTGGACTGTACGATATCGTGGACCTATATGGATGATGATCTTCGAGGGTGTAAAGTGCTTAGAAATAACTTCTAGTTTAGATTTTTAGAAAATTCCATTAAAAATGTAGCTAAAATCATCAAAATACCGCATATAGGGAGGTACCGTGTAAAGTGCTTAGAAGTAACTTCTTTTGTGGATTTTCATACACCTTCATTGAAAAATTTGGCTACAATCATTAAAATAATGAAAATCAGTTGTACCTTTGTATGGGGCCCATACGTTATCGTGGACCAATATAGCCCATCTTCGAACTTGACCTGCCTGAATCGACAAGGGACAAGGCTGAATCGTCTTATAATTTTAAGCAGACGAAATGAATTTTACGCCAATGAAACGAAGAACAAAACAGCTGAAGGTCGTCGCAGGAAGAACAGAATGAACGCGTATTCGTCTCTCTCGAATCCCTCTCCATTATGGGACCGTTGATTTAACAGATTATATTTTACAACATTTGTTACAAATTCTGGAGTTATCAGACAAGCTTATTATTACATCCAAATACTTTGAGAAAATATGAGATTTAAAAACAATCTTTTATTAAATTAATTTTTAAAGAGATAACTTGTGGTTTGAAAAAAATCAACATTTATGTCATAGTCATGGTAAAATTAGGAAGGTAAAGTCATTTCAAATAAGCATACCCACCTCTGGATTTTTTTTTTTAATTTACCTTATCAAATTTCATTGCATATGGTCTGTTCCAAAAAATGTAAATGTAACCGATTTTCCCTCTACGATATCGAAAAAAATAACAAAGCTAGTAGATTCTTACAGGTGCTGGAACTGAGCAATAGAAAACAGGTTCCTATCTCTGATTTGTGTATGTACAATGAATTCATAAAAATACATTTTAACCATGAGAATAACATCTCATGAATGAATAATTTAAAAAAATATAAACATATGATTGTATAGCTTTACCTTCTTAATTCTACCTTGGTCATAGCTTATTATTGAATATTTTTTAACAATTATTGGGGTGGCATAAATAAGCAGCTTGGAATCATCGTATGGCGTATAGGATTTCATAGCCGCAATCGAATTTCGATATCGTTTTCCTTTAAAATTTGACATTAATATGCCATGCAACAATGCGAAGCTGTTTATGTATTGTCACATTTATTGCCTTTTTTAAAAATATTTTCGAAGAAATAAAGTAATCTACAATGGTCGAATAATAATAATACTGAATGTTTCTCAAGTCTATCGGTAGTGAGGTCATGCATTTTCGGAGAACATTTTTTATAAATCTATTTTAATTTTTTATAAAAGCTGACTTTAATTTTTACCATTTTTATTTTATAAATTTGCAGGACTGTAATTTTTTTCTATTAAATATCATTTTTATACCTATAAACGTTTTAGTAGAAGAAATATTTTGTCGCCGTCATAAATATGTTTACACTTGGGACTGTTCAAGCGGGTAAATGAAACAGTATGGAATTGAAACGAATACTTCTTACAGCAATTTGCCAATCCAGTTAATTGAAAGTCGATTTACAAATCCCTGTAACCGCCATTATATTGTGCTATCATTCTTCAGTGATTGTCTCCATATGCTCGTTATTCTTCCTCTTCCTTTCCACTTGAAAAACTACCTGAATCGAAATTTTATTAATTTTGATTACAATTGTATACGAAAACTATTGGATTAACTAATATGAACAATGGAGAATATATTAAGAAAAAAAAGCTAACTACAAGGTATGGTCACGCTAAATTACTAGATCTCCATTTGGACATCATTTGCTCCGTTCCAGTAGCTAGAAGAATCTACAAGTTAAGCAATTTTCTTCGAAATCATAAAGGGAAAATCGGTTATGGTACTATAAACTTGAACATTCTTGCAGTTCTGGAACAGAAGAAAGCCCAACATCAAGATAAATCAATGTTCCTATACCTTTGCATTTGGTTTCTTAACAGTGTTATTCATCTGACGGACCTTATCAATGTCACAATATATATGGACTTCCAAAAAGGAGTTTTCATTAACTTAAGATGTTAAAATACTCTGCAAATTGAGTTCCCAATGAAAGCGGGAACAACTATTCTTATTGTTAGGAAATCGTTTTGTGATATTAAGAAAGAATGGTAATAATATAGTTTAGTTTGAAATAGTAAAAGTTTAATATAGTAAGACATTTATATAATGCATTGATGACACACAACTTTTATGAGAGATTTACAAAAATTTTAAATTTACTTTTGATTAACAGTCAAAACAAATTCGCTGTGGCAACAAGTGTCTGCAATGAAAAACAGCTGTTTTTTTCCATTAATTCGCTCGCTGGAATGGACTGGACGAAACAGCTGTTTTGATTGGCAATTCGCCTGTTGAATAGTCCGATAGACCACCACATAAACAACAGAAAAACTGGAAACGTGTCGGGAAATTTATAAATAAATTAAAATTTTGCAAATTCAAGTAAGCGAAATGTAAATGGCGATGTAAACAAAGAATATGTAATAGCCGTATTGAAGAAGAAGAAGAGCAGTGTAACAAATAGAAACAGTGGGAAATACAACAACATTTCCCAAGTCTAAAGTTCAATTATCTATATTTGTTGTTAGTTTGTCATTTATTATTAAATTTGTTATTGTTTTGTTTCTTTTACTTTCTATGCTCTGAGAAGGAAAGCAAATGTTCATTGTGCTCACCACTTAATCTTAGAACTGTGGACTCTTTTGGGCTAGAGCCAAGAATCTACAAGTTTAGCAATTTTCTTCGAAATCATAAAGGGAAAATCGGTTATGGTACTATAATCTTGAACATTCTTGCAGTTCTGGAACAGAAGAAAGCCCAACATCGAGATAAATCAATATTCCTATACCTTTGCATTTGGTTTCTTAACAGTGTTATTCATTTGACTGACCTTATCAATGTCACAATATATATGGACTTCCAAAAAGGAGTTTTCACCAAGTTAAGCTGTTAAAGTACTCTTTGCAAATTGAGTTCCCAATGAAAGCGGGAACAACTATTCTTATTGTTAGAAATCGTTTTGTGATATTAAGAAAGAATGGTAATAATATAGTTTAGTTTGAAATAGTAATAGTTTAAAATAGTAAGGCATTTATATAATGCATTGATAACACACAACTAATATGAGAGATTTTCCAAAAATTTTAAATTTACTTTTGATTAACAGTCAAAACAAATTCGCTGCGGCAACAAGTGTCTGCAATGAAAAGCAGCTGTTTTTTCCATTAAATCGCTCGCTGGAATAGACTGGACGAACCAGCTGTTTTGATTGGCAATTCGCCTGTTGAATAGTCCGATAGACAACCACATAAACAACAGAAAAACTGGAAACGTGTCGGGAAATTTATAAATAAATTAAAAATTTTGCAAATTCAAGTAAGCGAAATGTAAATGGCGGTGTAAACAAAGAATATGTAATAGGCGTATTGAAGAAGAAGCACAGTGTAACAAATAGACAAGTAGAAACAGTGGGAAATACAACAACATTTTCCAAGTCTAAAGTTCAATTATCTATATTTGTTGTTAGTTTGTCATTTATTATTAAATTTGTTATTGTTTTGTTTCTTTTACTTTCTATGCTCTGAGAAAGAAATCAAATGTTCATTGTGCTCACCACTTTATCTCAGAACTGTGGACTCCTTTGGGCTAGAGCCGTGTCAGCAGTTGTCAGTGTAGCATAGTGGGCGAGAGCAATAATACATTTTTGATTATTTGTAGCTCAAATTGTTTCTATTATTATTTTTATTTTATTGTTAATTGTGCATTCATCGAAGGTGCTTTTGTTAAACATTGTAGCAATTACAGGCTAATATCAACAACACTGTATGTGCCAAAGTGCCTTCGAAGACCAACGATTGATTTCTCCGATATTCCTAGATTTTAAGATTGCTCCAAGATGTCAGCTCTGCTAAAATTGGCCAGAGGTAAGTTCATGATCAAGTGGAAAATTTTTTATCAATTTTAATTTATGCATGTTTTTGTTTTTTTGTTTTTATTCCTTCCTCTCTTCTTCACTTTCATATGTTTTATTACATAATAATTAAAAAAGACTTTAATATATATAAAATAATAAACGCAAATAATTGATAATAGAAAAACACCAAAGCCGAAAATGGTCCAATTGTTCTAAGTGTAAATGTGTGTGTGTGTGTTTAGAAATAAACTGTTTTTATAGAATGCAAATTAATTGATTTTCTTATCAACCGGCAAAGTTCAATTAGCACCACTTGAAGATGTTAAAAAAATATTTTTGGTTTTTCTTTTGAAAAAAAAAAAAAAAAAAAAAACAAATTGGAGGCACGTTCCCAATTGTCATATTGGATGAGTCCGAAGTCGTGGCATATTATTAGGTTTATTATATTTTGCACGAAAAAATGTATTACCTAATATTAAGTCTGGCAAAGGAAACACATCTTGGCTAATTGTCACAAGGAACAACACTTCCTAAAAAGCACTGGTGTCCAACTTACGAGTTTGTCGGACTTAAAAAGTCAATTATTAACTTGATCAATCTAGTAAGTTGGATTAGGCATCCACATGTCCAACTTTGCTTGTACATATGAGGGTACATGTGTACGTATGTAGGTGTCTATACGTTGTATAACGAATTAATCCGGTTGTATTTGAATTTACAAGTAGCCGCTTCGCATCTCAATCACCTATATTCAATTTTTTACCAATAAAATCCACGGTCCTTCGAAAGGATATTACAGATATTCTAAAGAGTGAGATGAAAAAACTGCAACCAACAGACTGCTGTTACTTCTAAGCCACCCGTCCGACAGCTGATAAAATTATTCCAGTGACAGCTCATTATATTGTTTACAAGCGTACAAAAGCATTTTAGTGAAAATTTTCAAGAAAAAAAAATTATTCCTGATGGAATTTAAGCGTGATAGTTTGATTTCTTTATATTTGGCTAGAAAACCACAAGTGGCTATTGTTAAAGCACTCCAGCATTTAAATGTGAATAAATCTTTTGTGTCCATCGCTCGTTACCGTGAAACTGGTAGCGTAGCGACGTCAAGGGAGTGGATGGAACAAAACAGCAACATCAGCAGAAATGGTTCGAAAAGTAAAGAAGTGACTTGATCGAAATCCGCGTCGGATTTCTCGATGTAAAGCATTGAATTTCCTAAAAGTGCAAGAACTTATAACGCAACACCGCAACTGAAAGAAAATAGAATCAAAAGAACTAAAGAGCTGTTTCCCTTGGCAGAAAGTGGGGAACTGCCGAATTTGGTTTTCTCCGATGAGAAAGCATTCGTTGTCCAGCAGTTTGTAAACAAACAAAATGATCGTGTTTACTTGTCAAAGAGGTCAGCTAAAAATGTGCACATTCGGTTGGCCACCACAACTCAAGCGCCAGCCATGGTGATGGTGTGGGCCGCCATAACAGCCGATGGTCGCCCTCCGCTCATATTAATCGACGTGGCATCGGAATAAATGTCGAATATTACAGCGAAAATATTCTAGAGGGTGTATATTTAAGCATTGGGCAGTCCAACATTTTGGCCGCAAGCCTTGGACATTCCAACAGGACACAGCACAATCGCACTCAGCACGTGCCACCCAAGAATGGTTACAAAATGAGGTTCCTCGCTTCATTTCCAGCGTACAGTGGCCACCAAAATCTTCGGATACCAATCCGTTGGACTATTGTGTTTGGAGTATTTTGGAAAGCAAGGTTGGCACTAAAAAATACCTAAGTGTCGATCACCTCAAGCAAGCGCTTCGCCGAGAATGGGACAAAATACCGCAAGGCAACATTCGGCAGCATTTGACGGTTTCATTGGCCGTTAAAAAACCATAATTCGTGCCAAAGGTGACCAATTCGAACAAATCTAAACTTATTCTAAAATTTGATGCTATTTCCGACATTTTTTCTTTGTTTAAGAAAAAAATGTAAAAATTATGGTGTTTGACTTTGTTGCAGTTCTTTTATCTCACCCTGTATATTATATATATTTTTTTGGTGTTCAAAGGATTTTGCCTAGTCTAGTCTTAGGCCACACAGAATTCCGATTTTGTTTAAGAGTTTTTTTTGCAATCAAATCTATTGATTTCTTTATTTATTTCATTATCTTGACCTATTTGGACCCACCTTTCTCTTATGCCATTGTATTATCAAATCTCTGTTATCAGTCAAAATTTAATTTGTCGGGGTTTATCTTTAGACAAACATTTATCAGCTTCTGAATAGGAACATTTAGAAACTACAAAAACAAACATGCCTAAAGTTTTAGTCTGACGGTGTTATATTTAGTTATATTACTGTCTAGGCCAAGTGTTGATGAATATAGGATATAGATAGCTTTGATTCTTATTGATAAATCAATCAATAATGATTGGACAAAATCAGCAATACCTTGTGTAAGCTCACTGATATTTGATACATTTTTTGTAATATAAATATTTTTTGATATCGAATGGAATGCTCCAAAAATCTACTATTTTCTTAACATAAATTAATACAATTTAAAAATTAGCTTTAAATCATACTCTGTTTTCTTCTTTTCAGTTCATAAACTTATAACACCTACCTCAATTCGTACCGTTTCCGATGCGGTGAAATATCCTAAGATCACCACTCACTATACTGTCTGTCCCAGGGACAAGGATGAAAGATGGAAGGGTAAGTAAATATTAAAAGAAAAACATATTCGAAGCTTTCTTTTTCTTATATATAACTCCTCTCCCCTATTTTCATTAACAGAAGTCGATATGGAACGTTATGTCGATGAGGTCGACATTGTCATAGTCGGTGGCGGTCCAGCTGGCATGTCGGCTGCCATTAGAGCCAAACAATTGGCTGCCGAACAAGAAAAAGAAATTCGTGTTTGTGTTGTGGAAAAGTCTGCTGAAGTTGGTGGTCACATTCTGTCGGGCGCTGTTATGGATCCCGTTTCACTGAATGAACTTTTCCCCGATTGGAAAGAAATGGGTGCTCCATTGAATACTCCCGTCAGCACTGATAAATTTTCTTTTCTCACCGAAACCGGACGTTTTTCGATACCCATTTTCAAGGGTTGGCCCATGGATAATCATGGCAACTATGTTGTACGTTTGGGTCATTTGGTAAAATGGTTGGGTGAACAAGCCGAAGCTCTGGGTGTTGAAATCTATCCCGGTTGTGCCGCTTCGGAGGTATTGTTCCATGAGGATGGCAGTGTCAAGGGTGTGGCCACCAATGATGTTGGTATTGCCAAGGATGGTTCACCCAAGGATACATTTGCTCGTGGCATGGAGTTGCATGCCAAGACCACCATTTTTGCCGAAGGTTGCCGTGGACATTTGAGCAAACAATTAATGCAACAATTCAAGCTCAATGAGGGCAGCCAACCCCAGACCTATGGTATTGGTTTGAAGGAAATCTGGGAAATTCAACCTGAGAAACATCAGTAAATATTGTTAAATTAAAAATAATTATATTTTAAAATATTTAATTTAATTTTCTTTATTTTTAGACCCGGTTTGGTTGAACACACCATTGGCTGGCCATTGGACAAATTCACCTATGGTGGTTCGTTTTTGTATCACTTGAACGAACCCACTCCCACCATTGCCGTGGGCTTTGTTGTGGGTTTGGATTACCAAAATCCCTGGATCAGTCCCTTCCAAGAATTCCAACGTTTCAAGACCCATCCCAAAGTGAGGGGTGTATTTGAGGGTGCCACACGCATTGCCTATGGTGCTCGTGCCATCAATGAAGGTGGTATCCAGAGTTTACCCAGTAAATTAACATTCCCTGGTGGTTGTTTAATTGGCTGCAGTGCTGGTTTCCTTAATGTGCCGAAGATCAAGGGTTCCCACTATGCCATGAAGAGTGGTAAGTTAAGGAAAAATTTAGAGCAATTGATGTAAAGGAATTTGGTTTAAAAGAATCATTGCAATTGCCGCAAATTTCGGTTTGTTGTTGAGAAGACAAAGGTCTCCATTTATTTACCTTTCTCCTCAAAAAATTAACAAATTATAATTGAAAAATATTTTAAGATTAGTCTAGAATTCTTAGTTATTTTTCTCTCTATCTCCTTATTTTAGGTATGTTGGCTGCCGAAAGTGCCTTTGAATCCATTATGGGTGAATATCAAGAAACTGCCGGCTTTACACCTAAATCTTACCCCGAGAAGTAAGTTTTTTTAATCACTACTTGTTATCGATACTATTTAAGGCCATGTGTTTTATTTTCAGAATCAAAAACTCTTTCATTTGGAGTGACTTGAACAAAATCCGCAATGTCCGTCCATCTTTCCACAATCCCCTGGGCCTTTATGGTGGCCTTGTTTTGAGCGGTTTCTCCATATTTATGGGCGGCCGTGAACCATGGACTTTGAAACATGCCGGTCCCGATAATGAATCCCTTAAGCCTGCCAGCCAATGCAAACAAATTGTCTACCCTAAGCCGGATGGCAAAATTTCGTTCGATCTGTTGTCTTCCGTTGCCTTGACTGGCACGAATCATGAAGGCGATCAACCTGCCCATTTAACATTGAAAAATGATCGTGTACCCGTTGATCACAACTTGGCCCTGTATGAAGGACCCGAACAACGTTTCTGCCCAGCTGGCGTCTATGAATATGTGCCCAACGAGGAGGGTGGCAATATGAAATTACAAATTAATGCCCAAAACTGCATTCACTGCAAGACCTGTGATATCAAGGATCCCAAACAAAATATTAACTGGGTTGTACCAGAAGGTGGCGGCGGCCCAGCCTACAATGGCATGTAAATGGTTTCTCTTTGAAAGAGGATAATTTATGAACAATTTTGGAGGCTTTAAAAGTGTTCCATTTTGAGAGGAAAAGAAAAACAACAACCAGCTGCATTTCATTAGTATAACTAAACAAAGTTGTCAAATTTTTAAAAAATGAGATTTTTTCTTTTGCTAATTACCGTATATTATTGTAAATTGTTGTAATTTAATTAAGTGAAAAAATAAAGTTTTAATATTCGAAAAAAAAAGAAAACGGGAAACAAAAATGTTTAGAAATTTAGGGGTATGTACAGGTCATTAATGGAGGAATCAGCAATGTTGTTTTCAAGAGTCTCTAAATCAGTGGCAGTGCTCCGTATACCCTAAATCATTTTAATGCCTCTTCAGTATCAATAGACCACAAATATGATATTGTTTTAAGCAGATTGAAGAGATCATTGAACAAATTTGAAACTTTTTATGAATAACATTTCAAGAACTATTCGATTACAAATCACGTTTTGCTATATTTTGTTCAGGACCAACTGAATTTGAATATTAAAGGCAAGAGTCACCAGCACATAAATCGCGAATTTTAAGGTTATTCGGGTAAGAATTAGAAGATTTTTTAAAACAATTTTTTTTCAAGAATCGATAACCAATTGATTGTCCCTATTCATACCCTCCACCATAGTATGGAGGGTATATTAAGTTTGTCATTCCGCTTGTAACACCTACATTTTAGACCCCACAAATTATATATGTTCTTGATCAGCATAAAATTCTATGTCGATTTAGCGATGTCCGTCCGTCTATCCGTCTGTGGAAATCACTCTAGCTTCCGAACGAAATGACGTAGGTTGATAAAATTTTACTCAAATGTTTTTTATGTCTGCAGGACTTTTGGTATTGAAAATGGGTGATGTAGGTTTTGGTATAGCCCTCATATAACGGTACCTCCCGATATTCGGTACTTTGATGTTTTTAGCGACATTCACCGGAATTGTTTCAAATTTGGTGTTTGAAGTTCGTAATGAATACTACAGCCTAAGACAGAAAATTGTCTGTGCAAGTGCACGTCTTCGTATGGCCGCAATATAACGGTACCTCCCTTTTGATGATTTTAGCTACATTATTTACCGAATTTTTGTATTCAAGTTTCGCATTTGAATAATTTAATGGTTAAGACAAAAGTAATGTAACGGCTACATTCGGTATTTTTAAGATTTTAACAGAATTTTGAACGGATAATATTTTTTTTGAAAATTGCCAAAACTTTCCAAACGGTGGAGGGTATTTGAAAACCGGACCGGCCGAACTTACAGCTTTTTTACTTGTTTTTGTATAGCCCCATAACCACTTGCATTCCCTTATTCTTAAAAGTAATAAAAACACCAGTTTTCCAAACTTTGTTTAAAATTTCTCAATACATTTATCTCATTATTATTTTTTTTATTTGTTGTTTTGTTTTATTTCTTTTTTGTTCTTGGTTTATTTTTACTCAGAATGTATAGATATAATTAAAACATAAAACTTATCATTACAATTGAATATCATTTCATTTTTGGTTTGGTTTGTTTCATTTAAAATTCAGTGCTTTCAACAATTAAAATTTAATTAAACTTACATAAAATCTTATAGAATCATAATAATCATATATAATACAAGTTATACGTTTTTGTTATAATTTTTTTGTATAATTATATTAAATATATACGTTTTAGAGAAACAATGTTTCAGAACACTGTGCCGTCTGTCAGATATCAGATTCAGGGTAAACAATTAAACAAACATTTGTGCACATTTAATTAGATTGTTGTTATTGTTAGTATTTATAATCGTTTTTTTTTTGCATATTTTTATAATATATAACAACAAATACATATGTAACATATATATAAAACACTTTTATGCTTATCATAAACAGAAAAACAATTATAGATGATTCACAGATATCATTTAAAATTAAATATGTTTTTTTATTATTTTCAACACTTATAATATGTTGGATCCTCTCTTTTCTTTTTCTGTTTGCAAAAGAGAGAGAAAACATGTGACATTGGACCTAACTTTAATTAATTATATATGCAGCTTGATTTTTAAATAAAACATTATTGAATTATTAACAGCCAAGTGAAAAATTAATGTATGTTTTTATGGGACAGGCGTTTTTTTTTCTTGAAAGAAATTAATTCAATTAAAAATTATACAGTTCCGGGCCTAAATTATTGTTCTATGAAAATGTGAAATGAAACCTTTTATAAAGGAAAGAAATGTCAAATGAAAAATTTTATAAAGGAAATATTTTTCATTTGATATTTTCATAAAACAAGAATACAGCCCCAGCTCGAAACAAAAAAGTGAGGTTATGTCGATAAAGGTTTATTTTTAAATATATTTTAAAGGAAATAAAAAAATATTAGATAAAATAACTTATTCTTCCATATATATAGAAGAATATATTCTATAGACCAGATGTGAGTTTGTCAAGATAACAGGTGGTTGCATCAACGCTTGGGGACATTGATATGTCAAAGCATTTTAAATTATTTTTTCGAAAATTCAAAATCTTCAATTCCAAAATTGGTTTGACAGTTCATTGTCCCAACAGCTGTGTCGATGCGACTACCTATTTTCTTCTACTATGCAAATGACTTAAAACTTTCGTGTGGCAATATACCCCCTACCTCTCCAAAAGAGAGTTCTCCAATTATACCCTCCCCTTCCCCCCCCCCCCCCCCCCCCTTTTAGTTCCCAACGCGCTTAGGGATTTTAAAATTAAAAAAAAATGACTTAAAACATTTTTTTGAAAAGCCTACCAAAGACAATTACGTTCCAAAGTATAGAAAGAAAATGTGTTTTTTTGGGAAATGCTCGAATCGAACTTTTTAAAGAAAAAGAGAAGACCATTTGAATTTCAAAGTAGGAGTGATTTTAAGAGGATTATAGGGACATTTTAAAGGCTATTTAAACTGTCACTGAATGTTTAAATGAAGAAAATAAGCAGAATTGTTTAGAAAGTTAATTTTCCCAAAGAAGGTCCCTATTTTCTTAGGTCAAAAAGTTTTTTTTACAGTGACAGGTTTAAAAAAGGGACAATTACCAACCTCAAGGTCATTATTGGGGGATTATGGCAAGAGTTGGTTTACAGAAGAATAGGAAGTGTTTAGAAAGCCCATTTTGAGAAAAAGGGAGGCGAATTGTAACTTTCAACAGGCAGAATATTTGTAAAATTCAACAGAAAGGAGTTCCCTTATAGCGCGTTTAGATATACAGTGTTATCCGGATTAACCCACTTTATCGGGATTAATTGCTTAATACGAGTTTATTCAACTTATTATTAATTAAATTAATTAATTACAATGCAAAAATAGATCTTCTCCCGACCGGATTTATTTTAAATTGATGTTTGATATATCAGTTTTGGCTGTATTTGGAATTCTCTTTTGTTTGTTTATGTAACCAAACATCAGCTGACCGGCATTTATATCCTCCTAAGGATGTATCTAAACACACAAGATTAACCCAATAGTAAATGTTCGCTATTACGCTCTGAAATACATCTGAGATGATCCAAGAAGGAGTCAATAAAGGATTTTTTTAAGTGTACAAAGGGGATCTGTCAGAGATGACCTGTCAGAAATAGTGACGTATATGCCATACTTTCTCGACGTAACATACTTGCTTCGGAAAGGTCATAAACCAAGGCAAATAATAAGCGTTTTTGACAGATTGAAACAAGAACGACAAGTAATGAATTCAGTTGTTTTTATAAAAAGAACGACGTTCTCAAGCTGGGATATTTTGCAATAATACAACAATGAAACTTTAGAGGTGAGAATACATAAAACGGGTTTTTGACTGGCTTTAGTCATCGGCCGGATATTTCGGTAAAAAACAAAGGAGCGAAGGCCAAAACAGCTAGTCAAAAAAGCGATTTATGTATTCTCCCCTTAAATCACTGGCTGGCTTCTTCGTAAAGAAACAAAGGAGTTTTTTTTTTCGAAAAAGCCACCCGATAAGGGTGAGAAACGTATTTTTGACTGGCTTAAGTCATCGGCTGGTTCTTCGGAAAATAACAAAGAAGCATAGGATCAAAATCGAACTAAGTCCACCTGAAACTTCTTTGTTTCTCTACGAAGAAGCCAGGCGATGACTTAAGCAGGTCAAAAAAAGCTTTTTATGAACTCTCACCTTTAAGCCATGTAATAAATGCAGTTGTTTTTATAAACAACAACTATAAAACATAGGAACTTTAAAGGTGAGAATACTTAAAACAGTTTTTTGACTGGCTAAAGTCATCGGCTATATTCTTCGAAAAAAAAAAAACAACGGAGCGAGGCCCAAAAAGGCAGTCAAAAAGCGATTTAAGGTGAAAATACATAAAATGCTTTTTTTAACCCGCTTAAGTCGTCGGCTGGCTTCTTCGTAGAGGAACAAAGGAGTTTTAGGTTGACCTATTTCGATTTCGGCCCTAAGCTCATTTGTTCTTTTCCGAAGAAGCCAGCATTAAGCCAATGTATTCTCACCTTTATGTATTCTCCCCTTAAGTCATCGGCTGGAGTTGTAGGTTGACATAGTTCGATTTTGGCCCTACACCCCGAATATGCCAGCTGATGTCTTAACTGGCTTTTTCTTAGATGGAATTTTTAAATTGTAGCTAAGTTTCCATAGGTTTACTACAAGAATCATAATTAATTCAATTTTTGAAATAAATCTCGACGTGTAAACTTCAACATTTTCGCACTCGATTCGACCATAACCTCAATTTTTATTTAAGTGTGTACTGCAGATTAAAAAAGAAACTTTATTAAATTAATTTGCAATAACGCTTATATTTTGGGCTGGGCCAAATTGAGTTTTAGCACCGTGTTGCGTTATAATATATATATATATATATATATATATATATATATATATATATATATATATATATATATATATATATATATATATATATATATTTTCTTCAAACTTATCTATTTTCAATTTTAGGTTATGTGCAAAATATCAATATATTTTTGTTTTGTTTTTTTTTTTTTGTCATTTTTATGTATTCTATGTTTTGTTTTTAATATTATTGTATACATTTTTATGTAAATTATTACTCTCCATCATTTTTGTTTATCCAATAAACTTAACTAACAATATGTTTGTATATATATTTCATATACTTTTAATAAATATATTTCTTTTTGTATATTTATCTATCTATATACTTTGTTATGTGACTGTATGTATGTGTATATATAAAGTATGTGAACAATTGTTTTTTTATTAAAATATTTTTTTTATTATATATATGTCATTTAAAATCTATTTCCCATTTGTTTTTTGTAACTAGTGTCCTAGGTTTAGAGTTAATTTGTTGTGGGTCTCTATGTTTGTCCAAGTTCCATGTGTTTTTGGTTGTGGTCCCCTTGACCTTAATGTGGCAAATCTTTTTTATCTTTATTAAGATTAAGACTTACTTAACGAATAGTTTTGGAAAACAAAAATTACAATAAATAATCAACACAAATTTCAATTTATTTTTTTATGAACAGTTAACTTATTTTATAACAATTAACATTTATTTATTTCCATTTTTAACATTTAAAATATTTTTAAGGAGAGATTTCTTTTTCAAGGAAAAATGTACATTGACTTTGTAGAATGGATGTGTTATTTGGAGATGACATAAACCGAGTTAATGGATGTAACAAAAACGAGACTCGAAAGTCATGAAGACATATGATCGGATCCAGAACCTATAAGAATCTGCTAGTTTTGCATTTTTTCGGAAAATAGTCCATGGTGGTTTCTGCAATTTCTGGAATCAGCGAAATTAAGGAGAAGTGAAAATAGTGCAACATTTGATATGACAAACCCCCTTCAGGATGAGAAAACTGCAACCAATTTCAGACTGCTGTCATTTCTACGCCTTCCGACAGCTGTTAAAATTATTCCAGTGACAGCTTATTATATTGTTTACAAGCGTAATATAATTTTTCAGAAAAAAAGTTATTTGTGATAGCGTGATAGGCTGTCGTTTGAGCACTCCAGTATTTAATTGTGAATAAATCTTTTGTGTCTCGTACCATCGCCTTGTCTCGTTACCGTGATACTGGTAGCGTAGCCCGACTTCAAGTGGACGGAAGAAAACAGCAACTCAGCAGAAATGCTTCGAAAAGTAAAGAAACGACTTGATCGAAACCCGCATCGCAGTAGCCGAAAAATGGATCGTAAGCTGAACATATCGCAATATTCCATTCGACAAATATTGAAAAAATGAGCTCGGGGTAAAGCTATTGAAATTCCAAAATGTGCAAAAACATACACCGCAACAGAAAGAAAATAAACTAAAAGAGCTAAAGAGTTGCTTCGCTTGGCCCGAAAGTGGTGAACGGCCAAATTTGGTTTTCTCCGATGAGAAAAGATTCCTTGTCCATCAGTTTGTAAACAAAGAAAGTTAACGTTTTTACTTGCCAAAGAGATCAACTGAAAATGTGCACCTTCGGTTGGCCACCAAAACTCAATCGTCGCCCATGGTGATGGTGTGGGCTGCCATAATAGCCAATGGTCGCTGTCCGCTCGTATTAATCGACCGTGGCATCAGAATAAATGCCGAATATTATCGCGAAAATATTTTGGAGGGTGTATTAAAGCCTTGGGCACGCAAACATTTTGAAAACAGACCTTGGACATTCCAACAGGACTCAGCACGCGTCACCCAAGACTGGTTACAAAATGAGGTTCCTCGCTTTATTTCCAGCGCACAATGGCCATCAAAATCTCCGAATACCAATCCGTTGGACTATTGTGTCTAGAGTATTTTGGAAAGCAAGGTTGGCACTAAAATATACCAAAGTGTCGATCACCTCAAGCAAGCGCAAGCGCTGCGCTGGGAATAGGCTAAAATACTGCACAGCAACATTCGGGCAGCGTGTGACGGTTTCATTGGCCGTTTGAATGCCAAAGGTGATCAATTCGAACAAATCTAAACTTATTCTAAAATTGCTTTCATTTAATAAAATTTAAAGAAGAAATGTAAAAATTATGGCGTTTGACTTTGTTGCATTTATTTTTATCCTACCCTGTACACGCAGTGCCAAAATAAACGACCACTTTTATGTATTTTTAAACCAACCATTGTCTGAGAAGGTGTTAATGTCATCTCCATTTTCTTGATCGAAAGTAGACACAGATTTTTTCATTTATGAGCCAATCAACGATTAACCTTGTTTCAATTCCTCTTCGTTCCCTCTCATCAATTTCGTTGGCATAATTGATAGCGCTGTGTCTGACTTTCGATGAGAATGTATAATAGGCATATCTTTCGAATTAATGAATAATGATTTTTCACATCATAATTTTTAATACGAATTCAGTTTATCCTTAAATTCTTCAATCAACATATGCCGTTCAATTTATCCTATAACATTTCTTTATAATTACATTTTTAACTAATTCTCTTTTTCAATTTGTAACAGCCTATAGTTTGTTTTCCATTGAGAGGGGGGATTTGTATAACATTTCATTCTTTGTCACAGAAAAGTACATTGATTTTATTTTTTTTTTTGTTTCCTCCTAATTATATTATTAATTAATTATTTTTTTATATATGTAATTTTCCATAAAAAGGATACTGTATTTATGTTTTCTTATTTGTTTCTTACACACAGCTTTTACTTTTGCATTAAATTTGTACGTTCCAATCTTAATGGTTTCTATATGTTTCAATTTTATTTTTTTTTTGTATTTTTCTTAAGATTCTTAAAGCCATTATTTCATGATTTCCTGTGTCCGTTTGTGATAGGGAAAAGGTTTAGGTTAAATGTTTTCTTATTCCGATCTTTTTTTTCTTAGCATCTAAGCCAAATTTAATTAACCACCTGCTTTTGAAATTCCTTGTCAATCATGGATGTGTTTCTAACTTTTTTAATAATAATTTTCTTTGTAGGAATATAATTTGTCCATTTCGACATTTATATATATATTTTATTCGGTTATTTAGTATTTTTTCTTTTAATTGGTTTTTATATAAAAAGAGGCACTGTCTTTAAGGCATCTACAAAGTGGAGTGTGTTGTATATTGTTTGAATAGGATTTGAAGAAAATAAAATAGAATGGATGTTTTGTAAATAAATCAAATTTAATTTGACACCAATAACAAGATTCTCAATATCCAACATTCATGTTCTCCAGAATAATAAATTAATAACTTTTCAATCCGAATTGTGTGTTTTAAAATCTTTCGATATTGAGAAACTTGTGGCAAATGTTGTTGAGAAAATATATTTATATATATTTAATAAATTATATTTAAAAGAAAACATTGGAAATCCACAAATCTACCATGCCACAACCAAAAACTCATTGCCAAAAATTAAAAGTACATAAAACTGTTTTTTTTTTGTACCCTCCACCATAGTATGGAGGGTATAACGTTACCTCCCGATATTCGATATTTTGATGATTTTAGCGACATTATTAACCGGAATTGTTTCAAATTTTGTAGTTGAAGTTTGTAATGGGTACTACTGCCTAAATACAAAATCGCGTATGCAGGTCTGCGTCTTCGGATAGCCCCCATATAACGTTACCTCCCATTTTCCGGATTTGGATAATTTTAGCGAAATTATTCTCCAAAATTGTTTCAAATTTCGTATTTGAAGTTCGTAACCGGTAGCCCCACATAACCATACCTCCGATATTCTGTATTTTGATGATTTTAGCGACATTATACACTGGAATTGTTTCAAATTTCGTATTTGAATATCGTAATGGGTACTAGAGCCTACAACAAAAAATCGCGTGTGCAAATCTAAGTTTTCGGATAGGATGATTCGGTATTTGGATGATTTAAGCGAAATTATTCTCCAGAATTGTTTCAAATTTTGTATTTGAAGTTCGTAACGGGTACTACACACTATGACAAAAATCACGTATGCAGGTTTCAAGTTTCCTTTTTGAGGTACGGATTCGGTTCTACAGCTATGACAAAAAGTTACTTATGAACGCCTTGTATAGCCCCACATATAAGGGGTCTCATTTGACAGGTATTTTTCTAGTTTTTTTTTTTTTTAATTTTTTCAAATTCCTTCAAAATGGTGAAGGGCATTAAAGGTTCGAACTTATCTGGTTTTTTACTTGTTTTTATTGAAATATGGTCATTTATCATTTATTTTAAAGGAAAGTAGTTTTTACAGGAAAATATGTGCTATCTCTTTTCTTCGCTATAAAATACAAGTTCTGGACAATAAAAACAGTTTTTTCGCTAAAAATGTTATTTATTCAAAATAGAGCACAATTCTCTGTCACTTCAGGTAAATTATTATTAAGAAATTGTGTCCTCAGTATCAGATGATTAAGAAATTTCCAGGGTAAATGCAATATTTGTTCTATCTCTCTCTCTAAACGTCCTGATAAAACTGTTCCAGTATCAAATTTTATTAAAAGTGATTAATAAAAGGTGAGCGATAAGCCGGAAAGTTAGAAAAAACTTTAAATAATGTACCTTAATGTATTATGTAATTCTGTATCAAACGCCATCTAAATGTCATATCTTAAATAGAGATTTCATCGATTTTTTCCTTTTTCATTGCTACATAGGTATATGTTATTTCGAACTCATGAACTTACTTTGTATTTTTAGATATTCTATATATCTACTTATATCTTGAGGAGAATGCTTCAACAATTCATCAGCTGTAATCATAACAGCGGGTTGTCACGCCATCTATATTTACTATTTTAAGTAGATATTTTCGGGCATAGTGTATACCTTCGTTCGCCTTAAGGAATACTTTAGCAAGGTATCGAATTTTAAACCCTCAGAATTAAATCCAGAGACGGTAAATATAATTTTTATTTTCTTATTATTAATTTTTATCTGTATGTATTATGTTTCTCATATGAAACGCCATCTATGTTTAAAAAAAGAGCGTTTTGGGCATAATCAATATATTCACGGGCCTCAGTGAAGAAGATCGAATTATAAAACCTCTGCCTTATGGCTAGAGTGAATATGTATCATTATCATTATTTTTTGGAAAAGAAATTCAAAGTTCTTATAAAATGATATTTTTTACATTCTATAAATTGACATTCAAAAACTTTTTTTTCTAAAAATTAAAATTATTTTCTCAACAAAATCTTGATGTCATGGTGGAAAATGCCTTTTATTTTAGGATATTTGGAAAAACATTTTGGATGGTTGATTCTTATATCTTTTCGAATGCAAATTATAAATAACATTAAAAAAATACGGGAATTAACAAAAAATAAACATAATGTTTTAATAAAGGGAAGAGGGAGAGGAGTAGGAGGCTGGAGGAACTTTTGTAACATTTAAACCATTTACGCTTGTTTTACTTTTATTTATCTAACAAATACATATGCAGGTGCAGGCATTTACAAGAAACCAATGTGATATTTAGATATACATATATGGATGTACAAATAGATACATACAAGTATTTACAATTTTTTATAAGAAGAGATGTGGAATGATTAATTTCCTTTAAAACAATTTAGAAAAAGAAACTAAGTTAATAAAATTATTAAAATTTCCTTACAAAAAATTAAAAAAAAAACAAAAAATTTAAAAAAAGTATATATTTGTTTTGACTTTTTTACTATTTTTATTGTTGTATTTTCTTTCCCCCATACTCGTCTCTTTATGCATGAGTCTTAGCTTTAAGGGTTTTACGTCATTATTCGTATTTTCATACTCACTCGTATTTATAAATACTTCTTTGTTTGCTGTTTGCATGCACTCGTTTGTTTGTGTATGTGTGCATGAGTATTCGTCAAAATGCATGTGGTTCCCATTCCGTTGGAATTTTACGGAAAAACATGTATCATGATTCCAGGAACTTTCATTTTTTGGTGAGGAGATATAAATGCGAGTGAAAATAAGGCTCACTATTGAATCGCGACTAAAGATCTGTGTTCTAAGTAGTGTTTGAAGTGTATTGCGTTTACACGGGTGGAGTTAATCCCCAATTACGTAACAATATAATTGGCCCATTTACTTTTTCTTAAAAGATTTTTAATAGTTCACCCTCCACCATTCAATGGGGGCCTTGTCATTCCGTTTGAAACTCCTCGAAATATTCTTTCGAAGGAATTGAGATAGAAGGCTAAAATTTTGCACACATGTGTATTTTCCCAGTAGGCAGGCTAAATTCGTAAATTCACCATGTCAGTCCACGTTTTTGTATAGCCCCCTTATAACGGTAACTTCCAAGATTCGGTATTTTGATGATTTTAACGACACCATTCACACGAATCAAAATATCCGAAATTTGTAAAGGGTACCTATGCCAAAAAAAAAAAATCGTACGCAAGTCCACGTCTTTGTATAGCCCCCCGATATTCGGTATTTTGATGATTTTAGCCACATAATTCGCCGGAATTGCTTCAAATTTCGTATTTGAAGATCTAAGTGGGTACTACAGCATATGACAATAAAATATACTTATGCAGGTCCGCGTTTTCGTATAGCCCCCGTATAAAACTCATCATTTAAACGTTATTTTTCCGAATTTTTTTAAATTATTCAAGTTCCTTCCAAATGGTGGTGGGTATTAAAAGTTTAATTTTTTTTCAAATTTTTGAAGAAAAAAAAAGAAATTATATCCAACAACTGAGGATTTTCTGCCAACAGAAATTTATATATTTTCTTAAAAATATATTCATCATCTGGAGGGGGTTTTGTTTTTCAGCGGACGCAAGACAGGGGTCTAAATCAAAAAACTAAAAGACATACTCGTTATTGTAGTCAGCGTATTTTTACATCGAACGGCATCTATATTTTAGTTATGAAATGCCTATATACCGAAGTTTGGTAAATAAAGCATACTTTTAGGCGCTATGATGAAAATTATGCCCGCTGTCGTCTATGAGTGGAAATCTGGAAAAATGTGACACCCAAAAATATTGAAAAATGTGTTTGAATTCGTTTTCCTTTCACTTGAAATTTGACATTTGATTTCGGAAACGGTGCTTTCATAGGATTCAAGGCAGATTTTTAAGATGTTTTTGCTTAATCGTAAAACAGACCTTTGATACTGTACTCGAACGCCATCTGTACTTATGTTATGTTATTCAACTAAGTCAGCTGCATTTGTACTTGTCATCAATTTTCCAAAATTTTCTCACATTTCCAAAATTTAAAAAAAATTAAAACAATACACCTATTTTTTTCAAAATTAATATTATTTATTTTTAAAAAAGAAATCATAAATTTTCTTTAACTAAATTATAAAAAAAAGAGAAATTATTTTAAAATTTTGTAAGGATAACTTAAGGAAAGCAAAATAACTGTAAACAAAACAGAAAATTATAATTAAACTTAAGTAGTAATATTTTTGCATTTATATATATATATATATAAAAAATGAACTAAAAACGAATATTTATAGTTCACTGAAAATGGTAATTTATTTTTATAATTTGACACACATTTGTTTTTCGTTTCACTTATATACCCAATGTCCATAGATTGAATTGGTTTTTTATTATTATTTTTATTTTTTGTTTAATTAAAATAATATTTGAACAAATTTTTTTTGGAGAGTCATTGAGCAAATCTATAATATAATAATTTAAAATTATTATAAATTAAATGATAAACTAAAATTAGGAAAAAAATAAAGTCTTGAGATGTTTTAAAACAAAATTAAAATTATGACTTGAAGGCAAAATATTAATATTTGTAATAATTAAAAAAAAAAAAAACTAAATTATGAAAAAAACAAACATAAGCGAAAAAATAACTAAACTAAGAGCATGATGTAATATTTTAAAAATATTGATTATTTTTCTGGTTTACTTTGACTAAGATATTTGCGAAAAAATCTGCTTAGATTTGTTTCTTGTTTTTTGTATTTTCTTTAAACTTATATAAAAAAAATTATTGCCTTTACAAAATTGCACAGAATAATGACTTGCTTTATTTCATGAAATGGCTATTTGAAAATGTGTATTATAAAAAAATATGTGTTTCCCCTTTTTCAAATATGGCTAGACTAGAAAATCGCATGACTCTTAAAGAGTAATGTTAAATTTTTTTGTGATTTTCATTTTAAAGGGGGAGCCTAAGGATTTTTCTTTTTAGATTTTTACATATTTCTGTTTGGGATTTGTTAAAAAAATGAATAAAAATAATTTGTAATGTAATGACTATTTTTTTTCAATATTTGTATGTTTGTTTTGTTATTTACGTATATTTTCTCTTTCTCTTATTATTTTATTTTTATATTAAAATGTTTCCAATTCAGCTATTTACAAATTATTTAATATTTTTTAATAGATTTATTACATTTCTAATATTTTTAAGGGATTTGTTTTTTTTTTTAATTTCTATTTTTTTTTTGTAATTTCTTTTAAAGAAACTATTTTTTTGTTACTTAAAATATATGATATTACCTAGATTATTTTGTTTTGTTTTCTACATTCTCTCTTTTTTTGCTTTAGAAACTAATAAGGAATTTATGCCGGTTTTGTTTTTTTTTTGTTGCATCTTTTGTTTTGAAATCAAATACCAATTAGTATATTATAATTATTATTTTTTGTTTTTAATTTTTTTATTTAACAACTAACGGTGTCCGGCAACCTTTGTGCCTTTATTGTTTCATTAAAAATGGGCGGGTTTTTACACATTTATCATTTGCGTTCCATTTACACTAAGTTTTATGTTTCATTTGTATTTTCTTGGCCTTAAAGTTAAAAGTAAAACTTAATTTAGCTAATAATGTGGCTCTTTTGTTTAAAAAAATAAGTTGTCTGAAAATTGTTATGGCTATGACACTGCTTTACAAGGTTGAGAGATAGATATTGGAAAAAAACCGTTACGTTAGAAAAAGTCATTTTTTCCTTTAATCCAAAACATAAGTTTTTTTTGAAGGAATCTCTCCGTATCTAAATCTCAATTTAAATGGTTATTGTTTAGCGGTTTTCAAGTTTTTGCACTGGTCTTTGTTTTTTTATTTTCTAGGTTAGTTGTAAGCAATATTCGGTTCAAAGTAATCTTGCTTTGACTCAAAAAAAAAAAAAAAATATGTATTTGATTAAAAATAAAACAGTATTCGGGTTATAAATAGTCCTTATCATCAACAATTTGAGCGGTATTTGCTTTAAAGTAACCAGTATTCGGTTCAATGCACCAGGTATTTGGTTCAATATAACCAGTATGCGGTTAATACCAATCAACAATTGGTTCTGGGTTACATGTAGTCGCCGATATTTGGTGAAAATTGATGATTTTCGCATTAATTTTATTGAAAGTAACCAGTACTCGGTTCAACCAGTACTCGGTTCAAAAAAAAAAAACAGCTTTTGGTCCTAGGTTATTGGTAACCAATATTTGACTGAGAATATTCATTAATCGCATTGATGTTAGTGATATTGGCTTTAAAGTAACCAGTATTCGGTTCAAGGTACCACATATTCGGTTCATAGCAATCAACAATTGGTACAGCGACTACATGTAGCTGATATTCACTTGACATTTACGATTTTCACATCAACTTAATTTAAAGTAACCAGTACTCGGTTCAATGTAGCCTTTATTCGGTTCATAGAAAAACAGTTTTCGGTTCTAGGTTATTGGTAACCAACATTTGGCTGAAAATATTCATCGATGTTAGTGTTATTGACTTCAAAGTAACCAGTACTCGGTTCAATATAGCCTGTATTCGGATCTTAGAAAAACAGCTTTTGGTTCTAGGTTATTAGTAACCAACATTTGGTTGAAAATATTCATTATTCGCATCGATGTTAGTGATATTGGCTTTAAATTAACCAGTATTCGGTTCAGGGTACCACATATTCGGTTCATAACAATCAACAATTGGTACTGGGTTACATGTAGTCGCCGATATTCACTTGACATTTACGATTTTCACATCAATTTAATTAAAAGTAAGCAGTACTCGGTTCAATGTGACCAATATTCGGTTCATAGAAAAACAGCTTTCGGTTCTAGGTTATTGGTTGATTTAACATTTGACTGAAAATATTCATTATTCGCATCGAGGTTAATGATATGGGCTTTAAAGTAACGAGTATTCGGTTCAAGGTACCACATATTCGGTTCATAACATTCAACAATTGGTTCTGAACTACATGTAATCGTCGATATTTGGTTTAAATTTAGGATTTTCTCATCAAATTAATTTAAAGTAACCAGTACTCGGTCCAATGTAGCCTATATTAGGTTCATAGAAAAACAGCTTTTGGTCCTAGGTTATTGGTAACCAATATTTGACTGAAAATATTCATTATTCGCATCGATGTTAGTGGCAATTGGCTTTGAAGTAATCAGTATTCGGTTCAAGGTACCACATATTCGGTTCATAACAATCAACAATTGTTTCTGAATTACATGTAATCGCCGATATTTGGTTGACATTTACGATTTCCGCATCAAATTAATTTTAAGTAACCAGTACTCGGTTCAATGTAGCCTTTATTCGGTTCATAGAAAAACAGTTTTCGGTTCTAGGTTATTGGTAACCAACATTTGGCTGAAAATATTCATCGATGTTAGTGTTATTGACTTCAAAGTAACCAGTACTCGGTTCAATATAGCCTGTATTCGGATCTTAGAAAAACAGCTTTTGGTTCTTGGTTATTAGTAACCAACATTTGGTTGAAAATATTCATTATTCGCATCGATGTTAGTGATATTGGCTTTAAAGTAACCAGTATTCGGTTCAAGGTACCACATATTCGGTTCATAACAATCAACAATTGGTTCTGAACTACATGTAATCGTCGATATTTGGTTTAAATTTAGGATTTTCTCATCAAATTAATTTAAAGTTACCAGTACTCGGTTCAATGTAGCCAATATTCGGTTCATAGAAAAACAGTTTTCGGTTCTAGGTTATTGACTTCAAAAAAAACCAGTACTCGGTTCATTGTAGCCAATATTCGATTCATAGAAAAACAGCTTTTGGTTCTAGGTTATTGGTAACCAACATTTGGTTGAAAATATTCATTATTCGCATCGATGTTCGTGATATTGGCTTTAAAGTAACCAGTATTCAGTTCAATGTACCACTTATTTGGCACAATATAACCAGTATGCGGTTCATATCAATCAGTCGCCGATATTTGGTAGAAACTTAAGATTTTCGCATCAATTTAATTGAAAGTAACCAGTACTCGGTCCAATGTAGCCTGTATTCGGTTCATAGAAAAACAGCTTTCGGTTTTAGTTTATTAGTAACCCACATTTGGTTGAAAATATTCATTATTCACATCGATGTTAGTGGTAATTGGCCTTAAAGTAACCAGTATTCGGTTCAATATAGCCTGTATTCGGTTCAAAGAAAGCTTTCAGTTCTAGGTTATTGGTAACCATCATTTTGCTGAAAATATTCATTATTCGCATAGATGTTAGTGATGTTGGCTATAAAGTAACCAGTATTCGGTCCAATGTAACCTCTGTTCGGTTCAGTATTCTTTTCCAAGTAATCTATATTCTATTCAAGTAATCAGTATTCTTTTATCATTAACCGATGTTTTTGCATGCAATCGGTATTCGGTTCAGAGATAGAAATCTATCTACACAGATAAGATCGAATACACTACAATCCATATTTACGATGAATATTATCAATGCAAGCCGTATTTTCTTCAAAATACCTATATTTTCTTCAATGTAACCAGAATAGAACCAGAATACAAACCAACCTCATGCGGGTTTGAAAGGCATTTCCGACAACGTCAGACATAAAAGGTGGTAAATGTTTATGGTGCCTCCTGGACTTCTTCGACAGTAGACCTTCAAAATTGTTATCTTTAGATACAAAAACTTTAAGAAGTCTCTAATAAATAGAAGGTCCTCGATAGACCTTCCTGCTGCAATAGACACGTCCCAAAATCGTCTATAAAATACCCTTCTGAAATCATACAAATATAGAAGAATTTCCATAGGTCTTCTCTAGACATAGAAGACCGCTTTAAAGTGTTTTATCTTGAAAACATCCGCGAAAGATCCAGATATTATATAAGATATTCCATTAGAAAGTGTGGGTAAAATTGGACCTATAGAGATAAAATTCTGCCACTGGAGGTAGATCCCAATATAACCTCAAAATACCGAATTTAAAACTATTCCATTAGAATGTTCGACTAAAATTTTAAAAATACCGAATATGGGGAGCTACAATTATATACGAAAACGTTGACCGATATGGCTCATCTTCCAACTTGATCTGATTGCAGATAAAAGACAACTCTATGCAAAATTTTAGTTTCCTATGCCATGCCGTTTGGACTCTAGATGGACAAGCGGACGGACGGCCATACATGGCTAAATCGACATAGAATATTATGCTTTGGAGGGAATCTCCGATTTTCCTTAAACTTTACGACGGAAATTTGAGAGATATACCGGTCCAGTTTTTTCTGGTACCTCCTCGAACGAGGGTAAAAATTTTGAAAACCATTGATGAATGTAACGGCATTGGAAAAATCGAAATATCTTTAAAATAGCACCAAGCATAAAATTCCAAGTCGATTTAGCGATGTCCGTCTGTCTGCTCATCCGTCTGTTCTAATCACGCTTTCTTCGAACGAATTGAGATAGAAGTCTAAAATATTGCACACATGCATATTTTGCCAGTAGGCAGGTAAAGTTGGTAAATCGGTCAAGTCGGTCAACGTTTTCATAAAGCCTCCATATGACGGTAACGCCCAATATTCGGTATTTTGGTTATTACATTATTTATCGGAATTGTTTCAAATTTCGTGTTCGAAGTTCGTAATGAATGCTACAGCCTATGACAGAAAATTGCCTATGCAGGTCGGTCATCGTATAGCCCCTATGTAAAGTCTCCTCCCTCACAATATTCGGCATTTTTATGGTTTTTATAGAGCGGAATTGTTTCAAATTGTCTGTTCATCTATCTGTTGTAATCACACTTTCTTTGAAGGAATTGAGATAGAAGTTTAAAATTGTGCACCCGTCCTCCCAATATTCAGGGTTTTGATCATTTTAGCGACATTATTTATCGGAATTGTTTCAAATTTCGTGTTCGAAGTTCGTAATGAATACTACAGCCTATGACAGAAAATTGCCTATGCATGTCCGTCTTCGTAAAGCCCCTATATAAGGCATCCTCCTTCACAATATTCGGTATTTTTATGGTTTTAGAGATATTATAAAGCGGAATTGTTTCAAATTTCGTATTTGAAGTTTGTTATGGGTATGAAAGAAAGTTGTATGGTAGAGATCCACGACTTCGTGTAGCCTCCCTTTATTCCGACATTATTCACTGGAATTATTTCAAAATCGATACTGCAGCGTATGGCAGATAATTAACTCTATAGGGCGTTGTATAGTTCCCATATAACGGTTATCATTTAGGTAATATTTTGCGACGGACTTTATTTTTGAAATTTTTCCAGTTTCTTCCAAATAGTGCGGGGTATTCCAAGTTCGGAACATAGCTTGTATCAAAATGATAACAGATATGACAAATATCAATATTATCCCTTTATATTGCAATACCTCCCCCCCCCAAAATAAGGATATATCATTCCAAAGGCGGGCAGTCAATACAACTGATGCAAGCATTCGAACCTGTTTTTTTAAGCGACCATTTTGGACTTTCATTGTGGCAGAGTGTGTGGAACCGTGTCTTGCACCAAGAAAATTTGTTCAGACCAGTGTAAAACCTATGCGAGAGTATATATATTTCAGGACTGCATTATTTGTTTGCATATGTATGTAGGTATGTAATTATTGCATCTGACTTACAGAACAAAAAATATATATGTAAACTTGACTTGCAATATTTATTTGTATGTGTGTGTGTATGAGTATATTTGCTGTAGTTCTTGTTGTTGTTGTTATTATTATTACTATAACTATTTCATTTAATTGTTGTTGTAATGTACATTTGCTACACATAAATCCATAGGTATGTATACTGTACAATTAAAATATATCTGTGTATGTATGTGTGTGTGTTTGTGTTGGCATTGCAACGATTATTGTTCGTTCTTAGAATTGTTTTAATTGCTGCTGAAACATTACAACATTATCCATACCCATTGAGTTGTTGTTGCTATGGTGGTGGTGCTGGTGGGGGCTAGCCATTGTTGTGAGACCTCCTCTGGGAGAGGATGATGCTGCTACTGGGGGTCGTGCCGGGGTCTGAGGCTGTGGCGATGTTGAAGGTGTTGTTGTTGTACTTAAGACTTGTAAATTGTTATTCTTGTTTTCACTTTCCCCCCTTGACTTGAGAGATTGACTGTGCGAATGTTGTTGTTGTTGTTGCATCATTTGGTGGGCATTATTGTTATTATTGTTGCTGTTGTTGTTGTTGCTATTGTTATTTAAACTATTCAGGTGGTTTTGCATTAATTGTTTTGCATGATGTCGAGCCATGGCAATGGTGTTGTGACAACTGCCTGCCTGATCCTGGCCAGAGGTTGTGGCAGCAGCAGCAATACTTAAATAGGTGTTGTACATGTCATGTTGCTGTTGGTGATGATGGGATGACAATGATTGCTGTGGATATTGACTAAATTGTGGCGCTGCATGTCGCTGATTTGTGATGTTGTTGTTGGTAGTAGTAGTATTAAATTGTTGTTGTTGTTGCTGCTGCTGCTGATGGTGATGATGTTGTTGTTGCTGATAATTGTCTACTAATGTTTTATTATTAATATTATTGTTGTTGTTGTTGTTACTATTATTACTACTATTTTCATTTGGCTATGTTGTCCAACCACCTGATATTCTGGGCCGCTTATGCGCCTGATTTGGTCCATCGTAATCATTCAAATGCTGTTGCTGTTGTTGTTGCTGTTGCTGGTGTTGTTGTTGCTGCTGCTGCTGCTGTTGCTGGCGCATATCCGGCGATGGTATACTGCTCGGCGTCACAGAACCTGCATTAATAAATATAAATTCTGCATTACAGAAAGAAAATGAGATTAGGATGGATTTTTCTATACATTTCATCTTTTGCTCAAAATTGGGCCTCACAACCCTTTGTTTTTTTCTAAATTTCAGGTTAGCGAGCGCTGGGTGGTTATTCGTTGTGAGATAATATTCCAAAAAAAAAAAAACTTGGCATTAGATGTGAGAGAGAGTTAGAAAAAATAATAATAATTAAATTAAAATAAATTATGGCCAAAGCAAAGCGTAGTTTTAGCTGGGGGAGAAAATGAATGATAAGGGGGAGGGGGTTGATGATCGGTCAATGAAAATGTACAGAGGACTTGCTGAAGGTCTTCTATATTTGGAATGGACATTCATAGGGTCTTTTCTCTATACAGGACTTCTAGAAAGCCTTCTATTTACAGAACACCTCTGAAAAGTCTTCTCTGCATCTTGTAGGGCTTCTCCGAATGAAGATCGGCAGAAGAAGAACCTAGAGGAGAAAATGAGAGATAAGGCGAAGGGGGGTTGTGTGGATGATCGGTCAATGAAAATGTACAGAGAATTGCTGAAGGTTTCTTTATTGGGAATAAACATTCACATGGTATTTTCTCCGTACAGGACTTCTAGAAGGATTTCTATTTACAGAGGACTTCTGAAACGTCCTCTCTGCATCTTGCAGGGCTTCTCCGTACTGAAGACCCCTCGAAGATCTTCTTTTTTATTTATAGTAGAATAACAGAAAATATCTACAGAAGATTTCTGGTAATTCTTTTATTTCTAAAGGACCTCTGAAGGGTCTTCTGTTTATAGAAGACCTTTTGGAGGTCATGCGTAGTTGGAAGATCTCTTGTGGGTCATCTATAAATACAAGACCTATGTCGATTTTTATTTTTATTCAAAGAGGGCCTTTTGAAGATCTTTTGTCTAAAAAAGGTCCTTTATGTTTACAGAAGACCCCAGGATGGTCTTCTATCTATAGACGATGTTTTAAGTTTCTTTTCTTTATAGAAAACCTCTGAAAATCTCTCGATGGAATACCTCTGGAATATATTTTATCTGTGGAAGACATCTTCAAGGTGTTTTATCTACAGATGCCATCTGAATGGTCTTGAAATTACAGAAGGAATCTAGAAACCTTCACTTCATGAAAGACCGCTGGAAGGTCTTCTGATTGTAGAATACTTCTTGGGGGTCTTTTATTAATAGAAGGCCTCAAGAAGATAGTCTGCCTAGAGAGAAGACTTCTGGAAATTCTTCTGTTCTTATATGACTTCAGAAGGGTATTTTAGAGAAGACCTTTGAAGTTCTATTACAGCTTGAATACCTCTTGAGGACCTACGGTTTATAAAATACTTCTTAAAGTTTCTGTGTTTTTAAAGATGGCATTTTTAAGGTCTTCTGTCTAATAAGTTCTCTAAAATGTCTCGGCTCTATAGAGCAGTATTGGAATATCTGTCAGCTTCACAAGGGCTCTTATATTCTCTATAGGCCTCTGGAAGGTCTTCAACCTTTTGAAGGCCTTTTCTCAATAGAAGGCCTCTAGAAGGTCTCTATTCTACGTTTCTTAATAGAGGCTGTCTAAAGGCTTTCTATAGAGAAGAAATCTTCTATAGACGAGCTGTTCTACAGACGAGAGATCTTTAAAATTACTTCTTAGACAGACGACCTTAAAATGTCATCTTTAAAAAAGAAAAAAAAAAACTTTAATAAGTCTTTTTTTTATAACGGCTTCTTCGAGCTATAACATACCCCCTCTATGAAAAAAACCCTTTTAGGTTCACATAAATATAAAAGAATTTCCACAGGGCTTCTTCAGAAAGAGTATATCTCTCAGTAAGATCTTCTACCGAAGAAGACCGCTTTAAAGCGTATATTTTGAAGAAGAAAACCCTGAAAGGTCTTCTCTCTACAGAAGATCTCCAAGGGCCTATATCTTTAGAAGACCGTCAGTAGATATTTTCCCCATAGAAGTCCTTCACTCCATAAAAGTCCTTTGAAAGGTCTTTTGTTTATAGCAGCCATCTGAAAATTGTTATACTTTTGAAGGATCTTTTGAGGGGTTTCCTCTACAGAAGATCTCCAAGGGCCTATATCTTTAGAAGACCGTCAGTAGATATTTTCCCCATAGAAGTCCTTCGCTCCATAAAAGTCCTTTGAAAGGTCTTTTGTTTGAAAATTGTTATACTTTTGAAGGATCTATGGAAAAAAACTTTTCAACATCTTTTATCTATAGAAGACCCTAAGAAGACCCTCATCTATTTATAAATGGTCTCTGAAAATCATCCTTACCTTGGAGACTTAGAGAGCGTCGCTCTGCCGAAGACCTAAAATTTGGCGATGAAACATTGGAGGTCATCATGTACTGGGTCAATTTTGAATATTTGAAAATTAATAAAAAACATTCACTCTCTCAAAGAGAGTTGTAAAATATTACCAATGAATGATGAGAGAATCAAATAAATGAGATGACAAATGATGAGAAGTGAAATGGAGAAACAAAACTTTGGAGAAATTCTTTTTTGGGGGAAAATGGAAATTTTGGATTTAGAGAGTGATACACATATTTTGGGTGAGAAAATGAAGTGAAAAAGTGGAGTTTGGGAGAAAAAAACTAAAGATGAGAATAAAATGAGAACATATAAAACACAGTTGCCGTAAAACACCTTCTTTTCTCTTCTTTAAAGTGATTTGATTTTTCACTTTCAAATTCAAATTACAAAAGATCAAATGTATAGATTTTTCTTTTTTTTTGGGGGGACAAGGAATGGGGAGAAGCCAATTTACCAAAATTCCATAGTCTAGAATTCTGACCCAGTTGTGACCGATATGCATAACCTTCGTATTTATCTAGGCCTATAAAAAAGGAATTATTTGAAAAAATTGATTTGAGTTAATGGGTTTTGGTTATAATTTCCTCTCTTAAGAACACACACAGAGATACACATATATTTTGATAAAGATAATTTTTAAGATTTTTGGTAAAAAAATTTTGAAATCGAACAGGATTTTTGAGTTAAAATGATGGAAAGTGAGAGAGAGTGAGTTAACTGTAGCCATATTAGCTGCTACATCCATCATTTTAGTTATTTAATTAATTTCTTTTTTTGGGTCAAATTGTTAATATGGCAAATAGAAAGCTTAACATGCATTCTCAATGAAAGGTTTAAGGATAATTTCGAAGAAAAAAAAACAATAAAATTGAAAATTATAATATTTAAATAGCAAAAAGTTTAACTATTTCCTTGACTTCAAATTGCTATTAATTTCAAGAAAAAATTTCGATATTTAAAGATATTAGTTTAGAAATATTTCAAAAAAGTTATTAATTTGACATTTTTTTAGAAAAGGTATAACCTATTCAACATCGGATAAAAATGTTTTTATTATGTATAAATATTATTATTATTATTATTATGCCCTCCACCATACATAGTATGGAGGGTATATTAAGTTCGTCACTCCGAGTATAACTCATCGAAATAATAATTTTAGACACGAAATTCTAAGAAGATTTAGCCCTGTCCGTCTGTTGTAATCAGACAAGGGTAAAAACGAATAAAGATTGAAGCTAAACTTTTGCACAGATCAGTCTTTTGTCTGCAGGCAGGTCAAGTTCGAAGATGGGCGTATAGCCCCCATATAACAATACCCCTCGATATTCGGTATGTTGATGATTGTAGCCAATTTTTTCAATGGAATTGAACTGATAATCCACAAAAGGAGGTCATTCTGAGTACTTTACCCCCAGGAAGAGTATTGTCTATATAGGTCCACGATTTCGTATGGCTCCCATATAACTGAACCCCCCGATATTTGGTATTTTGATTATTGTAGCCCAATTTTTAAATGAAATTGTCTAAAAATCCATATCAGAAGTCCTTTCTAAGCACTTTACCCCCTGGAAAAGAAATTTCTATAAAGGTCCACGATATTGTATAGCCTCCGGTACCTCCTAATATACTGTATTTTGATGATCTTAGAGACATTATTCACCGGAGTTGTTTCAAATTTTAAATTTAGAATTCGTAATGGGTACTACAGCCCATGACAAAAAATTGCATATGCAGATCCAGGCCTTTGTATAGGGCCCACATATCAGTACCTCACGGTATTTTAACGATTTTAGGTACAAGATTCACCGAAATTGTTTGAAATTTCGTATTTAAAGTTCACAATTTGTACTACAGCCTGCGACTGCCGAAAATTGTCTATGCAGGTCTAGGTCTTCGTATAGCACCGATATAACGGTACCTCCCTATATTCGGTATTTTGATGATTTTTCCTTTGCATTATTCACCGGATTTTTTTCATGTTTCGTATTTGAATATTATAATAGATTCTGACAAAAGTTGTCTTCGTATAGACCCCAACATAACGGCTATATTCGGTATTTTTAGAATTTTTAAGGTTTTTTTTTTTTTAAATTTTCAAATTCGTTCCCTACTGCTTTTTTACTTGTTTATTAATATAGTCAGGATCTTTAGGATTTGAACAATTTTCCAAATACTATTTGGAAATATTCCAATTTTTTTTTTTTTGAAATTTTCAAAATTATTTTCAAAAAAACAAAATTATTTGGAAATATTCCAATTTTTTTTTTGAAAATTTTAAAATTATTTCGGATTTGGTTTAACTTATTTAAAGGTTTGGAAAAAATGTAATATATGTGCCTTTTCTCCAAAGCCAGCCATGGAAAGTTAAAAAAAAAAACGCGGATTTTCCCCTGTTTTCTCTTCTTCATTAACATGGATTCTTTTTTGAAAAATTTCCAGATCATATCTTTTGGAACTAATTCCAATTTTTTTTTTCAAAATCAAAAAAAATATAACTTTCAAATTTTTTGCTTCTGAAATTATCCTCAATCCTTCATACAAAATAACACAACAAAATTAGTTACAAAGTAACACATTTTTTAACTCATTCGAACTTACCCGGTGTCGGTGTTAAATGACCCGTCGACGATGGTCTTGAACCAGCCATGACCAAATGCTGTTGTTGGCTATGATTTAAAACGCTTAAATTTGTTGCCTGATCATTTGCCGAGCCATTGGACGTTGAGGAAGAATTTGAAGCACCACCACTGCCTCCGACACCACCACCTCCTCCGCCGCCACTACCGGCACCTAAAGGACTAGAACCAGCTATAACACCCACTCCACTGTTGACACTCAGACCGCCGGTGTTAATCGATAACGAATTATTCAAATTATTGGCATTTACATTGGAGTGACTAGAAGAACCGCCAGGGCCGCCATTACCCCCGCCACCACCACCACCACCATTGGTGGCATTTGAAGAGCCATTACTGTGCTGATGGCCACCGGAGAGATCACGTGGAGGAGATTGAGGCTCGGATTTGACTTTGATGCTGACGGGTGATGTGGCGGGTGGAGGTGTACTATTGGAAACACTTAAATGGGAGAGTCTGGGGGAGGTGAAAAAAAAAAATCAAAAATTAATAAAAATTTTTACACCCAATTTTTGTTCTATGAAATGGGAAATGAAAACTTATTTGAATTTCGCTTTAACGTGTTGAAGAAATACCATTTCCCTGTCTACTCACCCCGTCTGGTGTACCAGACTCTGATGTGTACTCCAGGTGGGCAGGCTCATCACATCGGAGGGGGTCATGGAAAAGTCTTGCGGTACAAATGGATATGCCTGTAACGCAGATATGGGTGTCTGTAATGTCATAACGGGAGTATTTAAAGATGACTGATTGTGACGCTATAAAATTTGTGTTGTAAAATTTAAAAAAATAAAATTATTGAAAAAATTGTTAACGGTATTATTTGAAAATTCTCAACGTACATCATTGTAATTTAGCTCATCGGCAGCACTGGACATATTTTGAGCAATTGTGGGCGCCGGTATAACAACTCGCAAATTGGAAGCTCTGCCATTTTGACTGCCGGGTGATTGTTGTTTGTGTGTTAATTGGTGAGCTGTATTGAATTCGAAAGAAAAAGAGGATATTAAAAATCAAAAAAATCACATGTGGCACGAAAAATTGGGGTCTAAAAAAAGAGGGAGGATGTATTGAGGATATTAGTAAAAATTAATAAATATTTGTTTAGTTTTCTTTGTTTTCTATTTGTATTTTAGATGAACACATGCACTTAAATAGCAATTGTTTATTTATAATTTGTAAATAAAAAAAAAATTGCTAAAGCTATTTTAAATAAAAATTGTGTTTTTTGTTATTTCAAATATTTATATATGGCCTAACATTGGGCGCCATTTCTATAAAATTTTAAATAATTAATTTTTACTGTTACAAACAAATAAATTGTGTTTGTGTTAAAAAAATGTTGACAGCTCCACATTGGGCGCTGCTAATATTGTGTGTTGAAATTAGGGCATGCTAACATATCGAAATAAGTAGATTATTCATTTTAAATTTTTTCAAATTTTTATAAAATTTTTACTTTAGAATACTAAGATAATTTCAGCCTTGCGTTGGGCGCCAATTTTATCATGATTGAAAGAATAATATACGTTTCCACACCAAACTTAGAGAGAAGGTGAGAATTATTTCCCCTAAATAATTAATTGATTTAAAGAAGCCGATGGTTGCAAAACAAAGGTTTTTACATTTACGGGGTGAGATGAAAAAACTGCATACAACTTCAGACATTTGTAAGTCACTCGTCCGACAGCTGTTAAAATTATTCCAGGGACAGCTTACCGAAGCATTTTGGTGAAAATTTTTTAGAAAAAAAGCTATTCGTGACGGAATTCAAGGGTGTTAGTGTGATTTCTTTATATTTGGCTGGAGAACAACAAGTGGCTATCGTTAGAGAACTCCAGCATTTAAATGTGAATAAATCTTTTGTGTCTCCTACCATCGCTCATTACCGTGATACCAGATACCAGACGTCAAGGAAGTGGACGGAAGAAAACAGCTACATCAGCAGAAATTGTTCGAAAAGTAAAGAAGCGACTTGAACGAACCCCGCGCTGCAGTGGCCGAAAAATGGCTCGTGATCTGAACATAACGCAATATTCCCTTCGGAAAATATTAAAAAATTAGCTCGGGGTCAAAAGAGCTAAAGAGTAGCTTCGCTTGGCCGAAAGTGGTGAAGTGCCGAATTTGGTGTTCTCCGATGAGAAAATATTCGATGGTCAGCTAAAAATGTGCACCTTCTGTTAGCCACCAGAACTCAAGCGCCGACCATTGTTCGTATTAATCGACCGTGGCATCAGAATAAATGCCGAATATTATAGCGAAAATATTCTGGAGGGTGTATTAAAGCCTTGGGCACGCAAACATTTTGGCCGCAGATCTTGGACATTCCAGCAGTACTCAGCACGATCGCACTCAGCATGCGCCACCCAAGAATGGTTACAAAATGTGGTTCCTCGCTTTATTTCCAGCACACAATGGCCACCAAAATCTCCGGATACCAATCCGTTGGACTATTGTGTCTGAAGTTATTTGGAAAGCAAGGTTGGCACTAAAAAATACCTAAGTGTCGATCACCTCAAGCAAGTGCTTCGCCGGGAATGGGCCAAAATACCGCAGAGCAACATTTGGGCAGCGTGTGACTGATTCATTGGCCGTTTGAAGGCCATAATTCGTGCCAAAGGTGACCAATTCGAACAAATTTAAACTTATTCTAAAATTTGATGCTATTTCCGACATTTTTTTGCGTTCATTCACTAAAATTAAAAAAAAAAAATGTAAAAATGTTGTCGTTTGACATTGTTTGCAGTTTTTTTATTTCACCATTTTAACTTTAACGTTAATTTAATAATTATTTCTTAACGGAAGATCCACCAATATCGCCGTTGCGATTCCGAGGCATAGTTTTCAAATGTTCACGTTGGGTGCCGCTTTTGGCTGAGTCATTTTTTTAAGTCGACACTCACAAAACCACTGAGATTGGAGTAAACATTAAAGTTTGAATTAAAAAATATATTTTCAAAATCAGCTTTACATTGGGCGCCATCATCATTTTAATGAAGAGAATTTTGAGTTTGACAAAGAAAAAAAAAATTAAATTTACGTTTCAAAACGTAATTTTTTTTTGAATAATAATTTATAATTTAATATTTATTCTTTTTTTACGTTTGGTGAGGAATAACACATTCACGTTGGGCGCCACAATGATTTTTGATTTTTCTTTTGCAAGTCTATTAGCAAAATGTTATTTTATGGCCAGAAGATCTTTTGAAACTGTCTTTTGATCTTTCAACAGATTTCTTTGTGAAAGCCGACTAGGAAAGATAGATGCTGACCACGTTGGGCGCCAATATAGATTATGTTTCTTTAAAGTTTATTTGATATTCAATTGTAAAGGCAAGATAAACCGGTTAGATCCCGAGACATAGTTTTATAATTTTCACGTTGAGCGCCACTTTCGCTTCACGTTGGGCGCCATCACATTCCTATGAGTTGAATTTCAAATGTTAAATTTTATCACCAATACAATGTGTGCAGTAGAAATTGGGGAGAAACAAAAATCAATTTTACGTTGAGCAATTTGTAATGCATTCGTTAGTCAGACTCGATATTGCTTTACATTAACAACAATTTTCGAATCGTATTGTGCATAGGGCCATTTAGGCCATACATTGGGCGCCACTCTCATGTTAAGGAAATTAATAGCTTTGAGCATCATAGAACATTAAGTTTCAAGTAGAAAAAAAAAAAAGATTTTAGGTTGAAATATGGGCCATCGATATATCGATAGCAACAATTAAGCTTTACAGTTAAACATTTCTTTTTATTAGATTTCGACGTTCGTACGATGAGCGCCGACTTTAATTTTTCATTAGAGTAATATTTCAAATTCAAATTATTAGCTATTCATCAGACTTGTTTCTTACACTCAGATGAACATTCTCTAACGGTATTTCAATGAATTAACATGTTCATACATTGGGCGCCACTAGTGTGATTATTAGAATTTTATGATTATAAATGGTTTCAGTAAAGTATTGAAGAGCACGTTAATGCAGCGACATAAAATTCCAGGGAAAAAATCAACGATTTCCAATCTAATTATTATTTTGAATTTTAGGAATTCCATTGTTACAAATTATAATTCATTGATTTAATGATTTCAGTTATCTGCTTGAATTTCAATGAAATCTACTTTCCAAATTCAATGCATATTATACAATTTTTTCCGCTGAGAGTTAATGGATTTTTCAAAACATAATTATGCAAAATTTAATTATTTAATATTCATGTTAGCGTGGGGCGTCGATGAGGCACTGATTTCGAAGAAAAGCCTAAGATCGTTAAGTTACTTATATTTTTCCTCCCACATTGGGCGCTGTTGTGATTTTGAAGTATGTAAATTATTTAATTTAACATTTTATTATGTCTGCCTGATAAATGGGATATTGGAACATGTTATCTTAATATATCAAACATATTTGTTTCATTTTCGAACTAGTTTTGAATTAAGTTAACAATCTTGGATCTTCCATTGGGCGCCAATTTAAAAAAAAAGATTTTGACAATTCAAGTATTTTTGTTTGATAACAAAATGATTAAGTTATATTTCCAACTCTACATTGGGCGCCAAAAAAAGTTCTATCAAACTGGTATAAATTTAGTTATGCGTTAAAAAATATTAGTATAAAAAATATTTATCTACAAGGGATGCTCATGATGTTTAGTTAAAAATGGATAATTTACAAATATGTTATTTAACATTTTTATACCCTCCACCATTGTATGGAGGGTATATTAAGTTTATCATTCCATTTGTAATACCTCGAAATATAGATTTTAGACCCCACAAGGTATAACTATTCTTGAGGAGCATAAAATGCTATGTCGATTTAGCGATGTCCGTCCGTCTTTCCGTCTGTGGAAATCACTCTGGCTTCCGAACGAAATGAAATACGTTGATAAAATTTTACTCAAATGTGTATTATGGCTTCGGGACTTTTGGTATTGAAAATGGGTGACGTAAATCTACGTTTTGGTATAGCCCCCATATAATGGTATCTCCCGATATTCGGTATTTTGATGATTTATGCAACATTATTCACCGGAAATTTTTCAAATTTGGTATTTAAAGTTCGTAGTAGATACTACAGCCTATGACAGAAAATTGTCTGTGCAAGTCCACGCCTTCGTATAGCCTCCATATAATGGTACCTCCAGATTTTCGGTATTTTGGTGATTTAAGCAACATTATTCACCGGAAATTTTTCAAATTTGGTTTTTGAAGTTCGTAGTAGGTACTACAGCTTATGACAGAAAATTATCTGTGCAGGTCCACGTCTGCATATAGCCCTCATATAAATGTGTTCCAAATTTGGCATTTGAAGTTCGCATTGGATACCACAGCCTATGACAGAAAATTGTGTGTGCAGGTCTACGTCTTTGTATAGCCCCTATATAACGGTACCTCCCGATATTCGGTATTTTGACTATTTTAGCAACATTATGCACTCGAATCGTTTCAAATTTGGCATTTGAAGTTCGTAACGGATGCTACAGCCTATGACAGAAAATTGTCCGTGCAGGTTCACACCTTTGTATAGCCCCCATATAACGGTACCTCCCGATATTCGGTATTTTGACTATTTTAGCAACATTATGCACTCGAATCGTTTCAAATTTGGCATTTGAAGTTCGTAACGGATGCTACAGCCTATGACAGGAAATTGTTTGTGCAGGTCCACGCCTTCGTATAGCCCCCATATAACGGTACCTCCCGATATTTGGTATTTCGACTATTTTAGCAACATTATGCACTCGAATCGTTTCAAATTTGGCATTTGAAGTTCGTAACGGATGCTACAGCCTATGACAGAAAATTGTCTGTGCAAATCCACGTCTTCGTATAGCCCCCATATAACGGTACCTCCCGATATTTGGTATTTTGATGATTTTAGCGACATTATTCACTCGAATCGTTTCAAATTTGCTATATTCGTTCCAAATGGTGGAGGGTATCAAAAGTTCGGCCCGGCCGAACTTACAGCTTGTTTACTTGTTTTTGTATAGAACATGCCATTTCAAAAATATTTTAAATATTTTAAACTAATGCCAAGCTATTGATTTTTTTTGTTATTTTTGCTATTTTGGATTGGGTTAATAATTGTAGGAATTGCAAAAAAATGTTATTAATAATAATTATATTAAACGCCCACCTATACCAGGACTTGGCCCCGGACTGGGAGAACCAACAAGCGGCGAATGTGAATGAGGATAACCATTAGACATCTCCAACATAGAACCAGATGGATATACTATTGTTTGTTGTTGTTTTGGTATTAATTGTGGTGATGATGGAAAAAAATATTGAAATGTTTATTTCGTATTGATTTTGTAAAGATGAGTGTGTCAACCAGGATGATGATGAGTAACGTGATGATGATGATGATGATGACGATAATGATGTTTCGATCCACATGGGGTTTTTAAAACAACATGTAATGTAATAATGGTGTTGTTGTTGATGTTGCATTCATTTGTTGTTGTTTTTTTGAGGATGTTGTCGTTGTTTTGATTTGTTGTAGTTGTTGTTGTGGTTGAAAGAAAGAAAAAGAAAATATTTTTTAATAAAAATAAAAAAACCAATAAATTTTCAAATCAAAAGCAGCAATTATTTGCAAGAAAAATGTTTTGGCATATTTTTGTCAGATTTATATGTATTCGAAAAATTCAAAACAATCGTGCAAGATGGAGAGATGAATACATAGAAAATAAAGGAAAGAAGAAGAATAACAAAATTTTGCGAATTGGAGAAAAAAATAATAATATTTGAAATTAAAAAAGACTGGAATATTTAAGAAAATAAAAAAAATAAACATATTTAAAACAAAGCATGCAATGTGGGTTAATTTGGAATGAATGAAAACGGAAGGTTCCAAGTGTCGCAAAAGTCGCAGAAAAAAAAAAATAAAAAAAAATATTTAAGAAACCGTTTCACGTTGGTCGCCAGAACAATTATGTGTAATTACCAAAACATGGCGTCATAGCACAATTTGATAAAAACAATTGAGCACAAGTTAATAAAACATGTATTAAATTCCGATAAAAATCAAGAAAAAGAACGTCAATATACATTTTAGCTTTAAACTTATCTAAAGGACATTTTGAGTTAATGGAATAACATTTTAATTCCCAACCTTACGTTTGGCGCCATTATTACTTAAAAAAACATGGATATTTTTCAAAACATAGGTAAAGATGACTCAAATTTTAACCACAAAACTTGAATTTTATGGAAAATTATATCAATTTTTGTAAATTATTTACAATGCTAAACCCTACGTTGGGCGCCACTGTTAAAATATATTTAATTTCAAAATAAAAAATGAGTTAACTCACATTTTAATATTTATAACCAAAACAAATTGGATTTCGCGCAAAATATCAATAATTTTTGTATGTTATTTAAACTGATAACCCTACGTTTGGCGCCACAATTTGAAAAATTATTAAATTTAAAAAATTTAATTTTGATGTTAGTTAGTCGAACTATTATTTCAAAGTAGCTTCCAAATTTAATTGAAAATTTTAGCCCTACGTTGGGCGCCATTATAACTTAATCGAGTGCAATTTTCATAACATAAGTAAAGTTGACTCAGAATTTAAGCACAAAATTTGGATATTGTGGAAAAGTACATTTTTGTATATTATTAAAAATGTTAAACCCTACGTTGGGCGCCACTGTCTAAAATGTTTATATATTAAATTTCAAAATAAAAAATTAATTTGACTCACATTTTAACATTTATAACCAAAAGAACTTGGATTTCGCGCAAAATATTAACAATTTTTGTATGTTATTTAAACGGATAACATTACGTTGGGCGCCAACGTTAAAAAAAATATTTAAAATTAAATTTTAGACGTCCATAGGACTTTTAAACACGAAATTTAAACAAAACTATCTTTTGCAACACTTAGGTGATTAATGTTAGTTGAAACAAATAAAATGCTATAAAAATAAATAAAATAAAATAAAAAAAATAGTTCAAATAAATCAAATAAAAAACAAGAACACAATGAAACAACAAACACAAAAACTGATAGATTTTTGAAAATAAAAAAAGATGTGTGCTCATTTTCGGTTTTCCTTTCTATGGGCAAACACCCTCTACTAACTTATCAATGACATCCCACCTGAATCCGTTTCCGAACTCGATGGTCGTGGGCTGATATTTGTGTGGGACATTTGTGGACTCGTCTGCAGCATATTATCACCATAGGCACCGGCCACTGGCACTGAGACGGGCAGCGTATAATTCGCATTGGTCATATTCCGGCCCGACGCCGCACCGCCCGCCATTTGGGTGCGATGCATCAGCAGCTGAAAGTCTTCGTCGATTTTATTGTATTTGGCTTCGGTACGCGGCGTCAGAGTGTAATCGGCTTCCTGTTCGGGGGAATCGGGTGACATGACACCGTTCTTGTTCTCCTTCTGAAATGGAGAAGAGAGAATCTATAAATTTTACACAAGGCTTTAGTAAATGTTTTGAATAGTGATGTGATTGAATTAAGTAACGAATAGGAAGTTGCAGTGATTTAAGTCGGGTTTGGGGAGTTGAAGACTAAATTTAATATTGAAAAATTTCAAATTTAAAATTTAAAAAAAAAATTGTAAAATTGTAAAAATATGTTAGCCAAAGAGTAATGTATCTTCACTCCACATTCCCCTCTTAAATCTCTGGCCAAAAATTTGAATTTGAATTCTCAAGCAATGGCGGGGATAGAGTAGCAGCAGCAGTAAGTTTGGGGGGTGAGGGCAAGTAAGTAACACAACTTGTCGAAAATGTCAAAACCTATTCCAGAAAGTTAATAATAACAATAGCATAACAAAACACAAGAGAAAAGGAAAATACCTTGCAAATAATACCCAAGATTAAATATTAAAAAAACAAATACCACGATACAATGTCCTTCCGTAACATTCAAATCAATCAATATTGTTTTTGACATACGCACACTACCTCCTCAAGTTCAAGTCTTAGTTTTCGGGGGCAATTTCCAAAGAATCGTTTTGTATGAATTACTTCGAACCAGTAATAACAAATATAATAAAACCCAACAACAACAGCAAAAACAAAAACAAAATCGTATTAGAACTTTGAACTAGAAAATTTGGGGAGAGAAGAGAATAACACGAAACTTAATGAATTATTCAAAAAGTCCATTTATACAATGACGTACATTGTTGGCGTATACAAAAACAAAAACGTAGGAAAATGCTATTGCACAGTGTTTGGGATAAGAATCGGCTTTGGAGTATTTGGAGAAATCTTAAGATTTCCTAAAAAGGAAATTAAAAAGAATATCCCAGACAAAAAAAAAAAAAAAACAAGGGAACTGATAAGGATTGGTGGCCCTTTCTGAAACCTAGGTATTCCCTTCCTTACACCCCTGGTAAACATTACCATCGTTCTCTACTAATAGACAAATGTTGTTTTTATAAAAACAACAATAAAGGGATTAAGTCTGACACTTTTGCAACAAAAAATTGAAAAAAAAAAACTTATGAAAACTTATTTTACCTTGGGCGCCATTTTCTGTTTCGATTTCTCTTTTGGTATGATATTCATGATTTTTGATTTGATTATGTCACGTTTAACTTGCAATAGGCTCATATTTTCCACTAAGAGAAAAGTCTACATGTTTTTCATAATTTTTCGGAAAATAAGTTTTCTTACCCCGTGGAGCACAGAATGTTCTGATATAGCTCAATATGACTAATATAGATTTTTTTATTCGAAAATTTACCAGAAATATATTACGTATTATTTAATATAATTATTTTAGAAAACTGATTAAAATTGTTGGCCTCTCTTGTTGGGCGCCACTATAAAGTTTTACTATACAATAATAAGAAATTGTTTTTTTTTTTTGGATTTCAGCATAATTTTTTAATAAAAAAATATTTTTTTTTTCAATATATTGAAAGTTTCCATGTTGGGCGCCAATATAAAATTTTATGGTATCTCCACTTAAAATCATTAGAAGTTTATTTTAAATACTATTCCTTCACTAAAAATTATTAACAATTGTTTATATTCTGAATTTGAATATTATGTTTGAGGAAAAATATATTTTTTTCAATTTATTGACAATTTCCACATTGGGCGCCAATTTATTTGTTTAATTTTCCTTTTCTAAAAATCAACAGAAATTGTTTTTATTTTGAAAAATAGATTTTTTTTAATTAAAGGAAATTTCCACGTTGAGTGCCAAAAGAAATATTTACTGTACTCCCAGTAAAAATAATAAAAAATAGTTTTTTTTTTTAAATTTCAACGTGATATTCGATGGAAAATAATTTATTTCAATTTAAAGAAAGTTTTCCATGTTGGGCGCCAATATTAAATTTACTGTATCTCCACTAAAAAATGATTGGAATTGGTTTTTTTTTTCGCAATTTGAGCACGTTTTTGGAGAAAAGATCAATTTTTTTCAATTTAATGAAAGTTTCCACTTTGGGCGCCAATATAAAGTAAAAATGCTAAGAAGTAGTTTTTTTCTGAATTTTAACTTGACATTTAAAAGAAAAAAAATAGTTGAGCGCCAATACTATTTTACTCTTTCCGCTTTTACCCCGCAATGAATCCCAGGGTGAACTCCAAGACCTTTGTTAGATCAAAGATATATTTCGGACAATTAAAAGAAAAATACCATCTTGGGCGCCAAAATGTATATTTTGTACTTGTTTCTTGTCAAGATTATCTTCCTGGCGAAGATGGTTTTGGGGACGGATTGCTTTTTAAATATCGCATAATTTTGTTTTAGTTATGAATCCTATGTTGGACTCCAGTGTATATTTGGTCCCAAGGTAAAACGAAAGGACGTTACATTTTAGACAGTGTTTAAGAAAAAAAGATGTTTTAGGAAATAAATGGCGTTTTAATGTCAGTAAAAACACCACATTAGGCGCCAACATCAACAACATTTCTAGAATATTCCCAGGGTTGAAAAATTTTAAAATTATTTGTTTTCTGTGTTTTTTTTATTTCCTAAACTTGTTTATGCATCCACGTTGGGCGCCAATGAGAAAAAAATACAATGATTAAAATTTTGCTAGGTAGTGGTAAAGAAAAATTTTATTATCAGATCACGTTGGGCGCCAAAATTAATTTTTTTTACTTTAATTGGCGGAAAGATATTCTAAAAGTGAGTTAGACTTTTTTCTTTACTACTAATTTTATCCAATAATTTTTCTTACTTTTACTTGAGCAAAATATTGTTAATCGCTTTTCCTCCTGAGCAAAAGTAGCCAAGTAATTACTTTTTGTTTTCGAGTGTAATTTTTTGAGTTAGATTTTTGCAAAACATATATATAGTTTTTTGTCTTAATGTTTAAGTTTCTAAATTTCAAGTTATATCAACCATAAAATTTTGGATTGTGGGACAATTATTCTCAAGAGGTAAATTTTAAGAACGAGACCCACATTGGACGCCATTTTATGTGGATTACCATTCATAAAAAATTGTTGTATTTGTTTTTTTTAGCACTCAATCTGGGACTATTGCAAATGACTATGAAAAAAAAACCCAATAATAAATTAAAAAAAAAATATATCGAAAGCAAATAACACATGCATAAACTTCAAAAAAAAAAAAAAAAAAAGAAATAGAAAAACTTACCTCTATGATATTTTTGTTGGTTAAAGATTCATGCGGTTCATTGTATTCTGTGTATTTGAGTAGGACTTTGTCCATATCTGTGCTGGCATATTGATAAAGTTTATTGCTCGATGAGAAGATGATCAATGCTATTTCGCAGTCACATAACACCGACAGTTCGTAGGCTTTTTTCATAACGCCAAATTTGCGTTTGTTAAAGGTAACCTGCAAAAAACAAACATGAGCGAAAAATGAGAGAGATAAGAACACATTATTATAAAATTAATCAAAAAAGAAAATATATAATAATTATAAAAATAAGCAATTAATGTAACAAGGGGGAGTTCTGACGTGGTGTGGTGACCCAGAGACAGAAAAAAATTGATTTATTAGGGAATGGTTTTAAATAAATACCTTTTGGAATTTGAGTCACTTGGGCGCCAATAATATTTTTTTAATTAATTTTTTTACATTTTATTTTTGGAGAGACTATAACATGGATTTTTATGAAATGTAAGGGTGGATTTTAAAGAATTTTTCACCAAGACCATTGGGCGTGGAATTTTTAAGATTTTTTTCAGGGTCTATTAAATCATAAAGATCGAATATTTTGTTTTATAAGGACTAATCGATCGGTATTCGTCGATTTTTTAAAATAAAAATGTTAAGGACTTTTAAGGACATTTGACAAGGGGTACAAGAACATTAAGGGGGATTTTAAAAAGGTTAAGGTTTATTAGGCAAGGACTATAAGTGCCGACTTTTGAAGAATTTTTCTCCAAGGACTACAAAAAAAATTTAGAGTAAAAATGGATTTTTCAAAAACTAAAAAAAATGTTAAGGACTATAAGGACATTAGACAAGAAATAAGAGTGAATTTTTAAAGGACTATCATACAATTTAACGTAAATTTGGATCATTAAAGACAAGGACTATAATTGAATTTTATAAATATGTTTTCAAGGACTATTAGGCAACACGTTTTGAAGCCTATTAAAACAGTAATCTTGGGATTTTTAAATAGTTTTTAAGGACTTTTAGCGGATTTAAACAACATTTTCAAGGACCCTTTCGTAATATTTTTTTGGATTTTTGTAGATTTTTTTCAGGGACTCTAGCACCAACTATCGTGTTTTTTCAGAATTTTTTCGAGCACCCTTGGCGTGCATATTTTAAAGATTTTTTAAGGGTTCTTGATGTATAATTTTGGACTTTTGAAGAATTTGTTTCAGGGACTCTCGTCCCAATAAGTGTCTGGCAGTGGCTGAAAATTGGCTCGAGAGCTGAACATATCGTTATATTCTATTCGGCAAATATTGAAAACTGAGCTCGGGGTAAAGTCATTGAAATTCCAAAAAGTGCAAGAACTTACACCGCAACGGAAAGAAAAAAGACTCAAAAGAGCTAAAGAGTTGCTTCGCTTGGACGAAAGTGGTGAACTGCCGAATTTGGTTTTTTCCGATGAGAAAACATTCGCCACAGTTGTCCAGCAGTTTGTAAACAAACAAAATGATCGTGTTTACTTGCCAAAGAGGTCAACTGAAAATGTGCACCTTCGGTTGGTCATCAAAACTCAAGCGCCGGCCATGGTGATGGTGTGGGCCGCCATAACTGCCGATGGTCGCTCTCTGCTCGTATTAATCGACCGTGACATCAGAATAAATGCCGAATATTATCGCAAAAATATTCTGGAGGGTGTATTAAAGCCTTGGGCCCATAAACATTTTGGCCGCAGACCTTGGACATTCCAATAGGACTCAGCACCAACGCACTCTCAAAACGCGCCACCCAAGAATGGTTACAAAATGAGGTTCCTCGCTTCATTTCCAGCGCACAATGGCCACCAAAATCTCCTAATACCAATCCGTGGACTATTGTGTCTGGCGTCTGTTGGAAAGCAAGGTTGGCACTAAAAAAATACCAAAGTGTCGATAACCTCAAGCAGACGCTTCGCCGTTAATGGGCCAAAATACCGCAGAGCAACATTCGGGCAGTGTGTGACGGTTTCATTGGCCGTTTAAAGGTCATAATTCGTGCCAGAGGTGACAAATTCGAGCAAATCTAAACTTATTCTAAAATTTAATGCTATTTCCAAAATTTGTTTTTTTCATTCAAAAAAAAAAAAAAAAAAAAATTAAAAAAAATGTAAAAATTATGACGTTGACTTTGTTGCATTTTTTTTTATCTCACCCTGTATAATGTTATCCCCCGATTGTAATATTCCATAGGTCTTGACAATATTTTCCAATCGAATTGACTTAAACTTATAATTTTAGTAATTTTTAGAGGGGGAACTTTTCTCCTCTTTTCCGGTAATTTTGCCATCTAAACATTCGAAACGCTAAACTACTCTACTTTCATACGCTGCTGGGTTTTCCCGAAATTATTGAAAAAAAAAAAATGCATTTTGTCTGGAATTCTATTTTTTTAAATCTTGGACCAATAATAAATGGTAATTTTTTAAGGAATTCTTTTCATGGACTATCAGACCAAAATTATATATTTTTATAGGATTATTGTATTTTTTAGAATGTTTAAAAAATTTGTTTTTCATGGTCTCTTACACCAATATCCGGAGTAATTTTTGGGACTCAAAATTTTTTGGATTTTTTTCAAAGGCCTTGTGGACCAAAAATTAGGGAGTTTTTTTTACGGACTATTGGTCCTATCATATAATCATTTTCTTTTTGGACTTTGTTTCCACACTTACCTGCCGGTTCCTTTCATCCGTTATACGTGATATTTGAATTTTCTTTCTGCCCATTGTTACTGCTGTTGTTGTTTTTGTTGTTAAGAAAAAATCCTTAAAAGTCCGTGGTAACCGTTTTTGTTCCTTATTAAATTTCTGGAAGGTGAGTATTTGTTCTTTTTCTTAAAAAACCCAGTCTCTAGAGTTTTTTTCTATTATCCTTCTTTTGCTACTGGAATAATATTCTTCACACGGACGCACACCCACACACACACAAATAATGTGTGATGATGTTGCGAAAGAAAGTAGATAGTAGTTTAAAGCTTCTTGAGTGGGTATTGTGTCTGGGGCCTGATTGGACCTTATTGCCAGAACACAAGGTTAATGTCTTTTTTGTTCTTCTTTTTCTTCTCCACAAAATAAAAACAAGTTTTGCAATTTTTTCCAAAAATTCCTATGCTTCTTCTTGTTCTTTCTCCCAAAAAAAAAAAAAAATAGAAGATTTAATTCCGTTGATGCTGTTGCTACTGTGCTATGTCAAAGTTATTTGCTTGGAAAAATTTAAATCTCTCTGCGGCATCATTTAATGGACTGGTTGACTGGTGGCAATGTTCTGAGAAGCAATTATTTACATAATTCTTTATGTCTTCAGGAGCTGAGGTTTTTGTGCTATGTTGCTTCTGGTACTTATTCTTCTGTTTCGTGGGTTTTTCCTATAAAATTTGTTTGTGGACGGTATAAGTTGTATGTGTTCTTCTTAAGCGTTCAATATTTCCAAAAAAAAAAAAAAAAAACAGAAAAGTTTCCTGGAAAGACAAACGAAAAAAATATATTATTTTTAAGTACTAAATTATTAAAATGCTAAAAAAAGTTATTGAAAATTGTTTTATAAATATTTCAATTTTTTATTAAAAATTCATAATTAAAATAAATTGAAAAGCTTCCTTCCCTTTTGGGGGCTTCCGCGTGCCAGACAGATTTAAATACCATCTTCCTTTATACAAACATATAGTTATGAAACCAAAAAGTAAAGCCTACTTTCAGGCTCCTTGGAAACCAATTAATATAATTTATACGCACAATTGTTGTTAATCATGCTTTGCTTGGCTTCGTTTTAAATAATAGTAATTAAAATTAAAATGATTTAAAAAATGCCTTTAAACTTTCCATTTTTCCCAAACTTTATCATTTTCCAAAAATTATATTTAGTTCAAATGTGTGTCTCTGTTCTTCAGTTTTCCTTCACGCTTGGTTGAGAATACATACTTTTCCCTGTCCTCAAAGGATAGCTATGTATGTGGTATATATTTTCAAGGTTTATGGTTGAATGCACAAGTTCAATGAACTTCACTTTTCCCCATTCCCCAACCACTCATCTCCTACCAAAAGCCACCCACCTCCATAATCCATTCAACGAAAACATGGAGTGTTACTGTTACTTTCTTTATCCAAACAACCTCCCCCCCCACCATCTACTCCCAATTTCTGTTTTGTTGCCCCTTCCCTTTGTCATACGCTTTGATTGTCAATAGACACAAGAACAACAACAACAAAATATACTTTATAATTTATTTATATAGAAAATCATTGGATTGGAGTGGAAGAAGAAAATAAGAGACGGGAACAATGTAATTGACCCAAATAGCTTATTCGTCTATTCGTTCAGCTTGGGTAACTCTTGGAGTTCCTCTGGCGTAGGTGTGACATTTTCATAGACATTTCTTTAAAGTTTAATGTAACTGGCCATGGAAGGGTTATTTGAAATATCAAAGTTATGTTATTTGGCAATTTTTTCGAATGTATGTAATTTAATATTTGGGGTCAGCCATGGGGGATATTTAAAATTTCTTATATTGTTTAAAGAAGTTCTGATGTTTGCTTTAAAATGAAAAAAATACACATCTTCAAGGAGTCTTATAGGGATATTTGAAGAGTTCACACTGAGTAAAACAATTTAATACATTCCAGATAGAATGCTGTTAAAAAAGTTTTAAGGACTGGACTCTTGGGCAATAATCGGGATTGTGAAAATTTTTTTCAGGGATCCCTGAATGTGTGACAAATTTAATATATTTTTTAAACAAACGCCATAGTTTTTAGATTTTTTTTTAATTTTTTTGAATGAAAGCAAAAAATGTCGGAAATAGCATTAAATTTTAATATAAGTTTAGATTTGTCCGAATTGGTCACCTTTGGTACGAATTATGGCCTTAAAACGACCAATAAAATCGTTACACGCTGCCCGAATGTTGCTCTGCGGTATTTTGGCCCATTCCTGGCGAAACGCTTGCTTGAGGTGATCCACACTTTGGTGTTTTTTTAGTGCCAACCTTGCTTTCCAAAGTACTCCAGACACAATAGTCCAACGGATTGTTATCCGGAGGTTTTGTTGGCCATTGTGCGCTGGAAATGAAGCGAGGAATCTCATTTTGTAACCATTCCTGGGTGGCGTGTGCTGAGTCCTGTTGGAATGTCCATGCTCTGCGGCCGAAACTTTTGCTTGTCCAAGGCTTTAATACATCCTCCAGAATAGTTTCGCGATAATATTCGGCTTATATTTTGATGCAACGGTCGACTGTTATGGCGGCCTACACCATCACCATGCCCGGCGCTTGAGTTCTGATGGCCAACCGAAGGTGCACATTTTTAGCTGACCTCTTTGGCCAGTAAACACGATCATTTTGTATGTTTACAACTGCTGGACAACGGATGTTTTCTCATCGGAGAAAACCAAATAGCACTACTTTCGGCAAAGCGAAGCAACTCTTTAGCTCTTTTGAGTCTATTTTCTTCCTGTTGCGGTGTAAGTTCTTGCACAATTTTGGAATGGCTTTACCCCGAGTTCATTTTTCAATATTTGCCGAATGGGATATTAGGATATGTTCAGCTCAGCACGAGTCATTTTTCGGCCACTGTGACGTAGGTTTCGATCAAGTTGCTTCATTAATTTCCGAACCATTTCTGCTGAGGTTGCTGTTTTCTTCCGTCCACTTCCTTGACATATGTCGGGCTACGCTACCAGTATCACGGTAACGGGCGATGGTACGGGACACAAAAGATTTATTCACATTTAAATGCTGGAGTGCTCTAGCGATAGCCACTTGTGGTTTTCCAGCTAAATTTAAAGAAATCACACTATCACGCTTGAATTCCATCACGAACAACTCTTTCTATGGAAAATTCTCACCAAAATGCTTTTGTACGCTTGTAAAAAATATAATGAACTGTCACTGGAATAATTTTAACAGCTATCGGACGAGTGGCTTAGAAATGACAGAAGTCTGAAGTTGGTTGCAATTTTTTCATCTCACCCTGTAGGTCCACCGTTTGATGCAGCTCTAATATTAAGATAATCCCATTATTTTAGTTATTCTGGGGGACTTGAAAATATTTTCCAATCGATTTTGCTTTAACCATTTTTTTCCAAGAACCTCAAGTTTTTTAAAGGCTTTTTCAAGAAGTCCACTGTGGATTTTTTAAAGTTTTTTTTTTTTTTCGAGGACCTTATCATTTTATTTCATATAGTTTCAAGAACTCTGTCAAGAATTTTTTAAAGAATATCTTCCTTTTTTTAAGAAATTCGTCATTTGAAGAAACTCTTTAAAATATTCTCGATAGAGTTCTTGAAAATAATTAACTATCATGTGTTATAATCCCTTTGGTTGTGAAATGATTTTTTTGAACAATGAGAACTATACCAACGATTCTGGATGTAAGCCAAAGAATTCTAAAAATGTCAAAGCCCTATTCTAAATATACAAAATATATCTCAAACTATACGGGGTCCGTTTTTATATGGTATACAGAGCGTATTTTGTGTAAAGAGGTCCATGAAGGGCTGCTCTATAGTTCGGTTATCCTGAAGATGCTTTCTATACACACAAAATTTTTTTTTTATGTTTTTTCCTTGGCCTCTTTGAGTTAGGTTTGACTACCCCAAAATCCCATAAAATATTTATTTAATATTGTACACAAAAGAACTCCTGTTGCGAATAATTTCCATCGCACGTGCTGGCCCTCAAGAGCTTTTACAATACTCACACACAGAAAGTTTCCCTTACCAACTCAATAATACAATGATTGGCTAAAACATGTAAAGACATCCAGGTTCTCTTCTATGGCAAGAAATTTGCTCTCTTCTCTAGAGTTTTTCAAACAACATCCCCCCCCCAATCTCCAATAAGGAAACCTAAAATATTTTTTGGGCAGAGAAAACGTTGTCAAGCTTCCGTTCATTTATTCTCTGCTTCCGGAGTTTCGCAATTTGTTTAGTATTGTTGTAGTTGTCGAATTTGTTGTCTTCATGTTTGTTTTTTTGTTATTGTATGACTTCAATTGTTGGAATTTTTGTTTACTTCATTGCCTCGATTGCCAAGGGTGGCTTACTCAGAGGGAAAATTTGATTAGTGTTCCTGTTGCTGAGTGCCAGTGGGTTTTTTTCTCCTGGTTGTTGTTGTTGTTTTCAATATTGCCTATGGCAGTGGTGCCAGGATACATAAGGATATCAATGCCATGACAAACATTAATAGAAAAGATGTTATAAAGGCCAAGAATTAGACATTTTTTGACTTCAATCTCATTCTCTTTTTTCTTCTCTTCTTTCTCTCTATGGTTACGAGTTCGGAAAATACATTTTTTTGTATTCAAAAATTGATGGACTACCTCAATTTTGTTGTAGCTTTCTGAAGCATGTTATGGATGGTAGATTTAAATATAGAAAACATTGATAGGGATTAGGAGTAAAAAGAAAAAAAAAACGGAAAGTCTAAGAGAAAATCAAATTAAGACAAGCTGTAATTTCGGTTGGACCGAACTTTGAATATCCTCCACCAATTGGAATAAATTCGGAAATTAAAAAATGCAAGTAAAGAAGAAGAAAAATCTGCCGAACTTTGAATACCCTCCACCATTTCGAACGAATATGAAAATTTTCAAAAAAAAAATTATAATAAATAAATAAATAAAAATAAATAAATAAATTGGGTAAAAATTTTGTTAAAATCTTAAGATTTAGCCGTTATGTCTATTGAAGACGTGGACCTACATAGGTAGCTTTTGTCATAAGCCATTACAATATTCAAATACGAAACTTGAAACAAAAACTGGGGACTAATGTAGCTAAAATCATCAAAATTCTTAGTACAGGGATGTACTGATATATGGAGTATGTATGAAGACCTGAACCTGCATAGACAATTTCCTGTCACAGACTTAAGTACCTATTAGGAACTTCAAATACGAAATTTCAAAAAATTTCGGTGAATATTGTACCTAAAATCGTCCGAATACCGAGTATTGGGAGATACCGTTCTATGGAAGCTATACGCAGACGTGGACCTGCACCGGCAATTTTCTGTCATGAACTGTAGTTCTCATTACGAAATCTAAATATGAAATTTGAATCCACTCCGGTGAATAATGTCGCTAAAATCATCAAAATACTGAATATAGGGAGGTATCGTTCTATGGAGGTCATGCGAAGACCTAGAGCTGTATAGACAATTTTCTGTCATAGACTGTAGTATCCATTACAAACTTCAAATACGAAATTTGAAACAACTCCGGTGAATAATGTCGCTTAAATCATCAAAATACCGAATATTGAGAGGTATCGTCTTATGGGGGCTATACGAAGACGTGGTCCTGTCTACGAAGAACTAGAGCTGTGTAGACAATTTTTTGTCATGCGCTGAAGTACCCATTACGAATTCTAAATACTTGAAATAACTCCGGTGAATAATACCCCTAAAATTCTCAAAAAATCGAATATCGGGGGTACCCTTGTATGAACGCTAGATGATTTCGT